TTAAACTTTTTATCCTGGGTTATCGCCAACCGCCTTTCAAACAGGTGGGTCTTGGTGTTTTAAAGTAGTTTCCGACATCCTCAAGCATAATTTAAGAGACTATACCAAAAATTTGCCGCCTGTTTTCCTCTAATTTGATCATCACAAAAGGAGATAAGATCTTTGCCTTGAGGCTACTTCAAGCTGATTCGCTGTTTTGATTGCATTTGTGCAATTTTTAACTTTTTTATTTCGTAGAAGATATTTTTAGGCAATGATGCGACTTTCTTCCATTTCGTGAAAATGTGGTTTGAAATATTTCGAACTTCTAGTTTTAACTAAAAATAGAATGTGTTTGAGTTGAAATGGTTGAATGTACACTCAACTGTTTGGTTCATGCAACTTCATTTACGCTAATTAATGTATAATTCAGGAAAGCACTAAATTTCGAAATTTGCATATAGGACAACTTTGAAAACGGTCTCCTATTCAACATGATAGATATACCGGGCTACTTTGTGCGCGATTGTTTCTTTTGATGGTAGGTCTAAATTAGACAAAAAACAGTATTCAATAACTGTTTCCAAATCAACCGAAACCAAGTCATAACAATGACTGAACCATAACTCTATTGTAAAGGCTAAAAAGTGTACTCTCATGTCTTTATGTATTATTTTGCTGTGCAAAAACCATCTTATTTCAGTCAGGCTTACGTTTTTGGTTTTATTTGCTGGCAGTTTGTTTCTCACAGATCAAAACAGGCCTACACACCTACCTTTGATTCAAAATTGCGATCTCAGATCCTAGAGTTTCAGCTCAGAAATTCTAATTTAGTGAAGAAAGAAATTGTTTCTGAAACATAGTCACCCTAGAGATTTATCCATGCGACTATGCGTTGCTACTGGCGACTGTGGTTTCAGAGGCTAGTTTTGACAGCTCTCATTCAAACTGTCCCTCCTCCACGCTTCCCATAGCCCAACCAGTGACTATCTATGACCATAAATTAAAAAAAATTAGGCTAGAAAACGAAATGTGGAAATTTAAGCGTATATATTACCATCATTGAGCTTTGTTCACCACAGAATATTAACTGCTTATATCTCCGATAAACCCAGAAGCTTGTTGTTATCAACTTCAGTAAAATGGTCCCTGACTAAGATGAGGGTAGGTGCGAAATCGATGAATTTGGAAAAAATTTGTCATCATATGACTTTTTACTACCTGAAAGCAAACACATTTGCATAAGAAAAAGGGTTTGCACTTGATCTTATTTTGACGTTAACTGTCTTCTTTTGTTTTGTTTTGATTCGTTTGTTGAACTCGGTATTTACTGTACCTCGGTAACTTGTACTAGGTAGTAAAATATGTTTAATTAACCTTTCCTTTCAATGAAAAATTGTCATTGCAATACGGTATCTTCACTTAAATAACACATTCAGGTATACATCTTAGTAAACAATGGTATACTTGTACATTTTATGCGAGGCTTTTTCAGTTAAACAAGCATTTTGATCAGAGTCATTTTGGAAAGGCAATTTCCTATTTTGATTTTAATCATCTTTACACACTTTCTTTTCCGTTTTTTAATCGCCATTTTTTCCATATCTACGTTTCCGAGGTATGACACCTTTTTCTAAATTTTTCTTACATAAGTTTGGACCAGAGGCATCACTCTTAATTTATGGAATAGGTGTTATCTTCTTTTAAAGTAATGTTCACACCTTTGTATAAGTTTCTTTTGTGTAAAGATCTTCAACATGAGCTTATGATCCTAATTTTGCAACTTGATTAGAATCTGTTAAACCGATCAATGAGACTCTTCTATGTAAACTTCCTTTCTGTTGCCTAAATCTTTCCCTGACTAGTACACCATTTAATTAAAGGGCAAACTTCTGAAAAGAAAATATTTTAGTGAGGGCGTCGCGTAGGCGTATTTCGGTTCGTGGATATGTTGGTCATGAGATGATGACTTACAGGATAGCTATGGCCACTTTAAGAGAAGGCGAAGGCAATGCTTTCTAAACAGCTAATCTGAGAGGATTGCCATCTAGAGTTCGAGATTGACCAAAATGTTTCGAGAAAAACGCAATTGCCGTCGACAGTGAGGGACAAGTTTCGCAAAATTGGCGTAGTGGCATTCCTTCTTCTCAGTCACAAAAGCGCTGAATTAGGTCCGATGACAAGAACTGTGTAAATTTTTTCCCATAAAATGCACAATAAAGCTAAAAGAAGAATCTTTCATTTGAGGCACTCATTCAATACTTGAATTCAAAACAAGTGTTAGTTGTCGAAGTTGTTTTAAAATCTTAAGAACTCCAGTGTATACAGCAGTTAGACGAAAAAAGAGTTAACCTTTCCTTCCGTATTTCGGGGTTAGGTGAAATCCAAAATATCCGTTAATGCTAAATCAGACGAATAGAATAATAATAATCCAAAAAGAACATAAAAACTTCTTTGATCAATCCACTGGAAGATTGATATAATAACTTTCATTGGAAATGAAATCGAATGGAGATAAGCAAATAATGAAACCATGGGGCGCTTCTTCTTTAAGGTCGATTTAGAGTTTTGGAATGTGGAATGTTGGTTCTCGTGGACTGAGGAGAGCCGGAGAACGAGACAAAAACCGTCGAAGCAAGAATGAGAACCAACATTTATCGCAACTCGCAGAAGACGCTAGGTCCTAGGAATCGTATTTACCATTTTGCAGTCTGTACTCGAGTAAATAAGTTCATTTGAATCTAGCAGTAGAACTAGGTGGTTCCTTCGGCTATGTGATCCGAGGAATGCTTGAGAATCTAGATCTAGCGAGAACAACTTGGAGAAAAGACGACCATTAAGAATGAACGTTATCTGCGATAGTTGATCCAGGAATAAAGCACCAGGTCGAATTATTCTCCAGTTTTGCTTTCTTAATACCCACATCATGGACTGTAGCTAGTTCTGAACCTTATAATCCCCGATTTGGGATTTGGGCCAAGCATAGTTCAAGACTGACTACATTTGAGTGTTCTTTAACATTATTTTGTATGAGGGATTGTATGAGGTCTTTTAGGGCTTGTTTCTGAATACGTGTACGTTGCGAACCACAGACTGATCCCGCTCTTAGCACTGTATATCAATGTCGATACGAATATGAGGATAATGAGCGTAAAAAGCTCATTATTAGACCAACGCATTTGCGAACTTGTGTTTGCTATAATCAGAGCAGAGAGGGATTTCTTTGCTTTCGTTGAATTTCGTTCGGCGAAAGGGCTCCCTCCGGTAATAAACGAGGATGAACTGTTCTCCCTACTTTCCAGCTGGGAATTAGCGATAATTTTTTCTTATCTTCATTCAGAATGTTTGTTTCAGGTTTCTCTATCTAGAATTGAAGTTAATATAGTTTCCCCTAAATTTTTTTGTAAAGTTAGATAAAAAAAGCTTTTTTCTTAAAGAACTCACTAATCCAATGAATGAAAATTTCACGTAGAAAGGTTTTAACGATAAAACATAACAAAATTCACATCCGAAAAAGTGATAAATTATGCGTCACAAATTCGAATTTTCAACAAAAATTGAAATGCGATCCGTTCGATAGCTCTCAAGATTTAGACGTTTTGTAAAATATTTTTCAAAACTTCCTGAGTACTTTCCGTTTTGCATTTAAGTCAATAGACTGAAGCAATATTATGTTTTTCGTTTGACATGTGGTTTTTAGGTGAAGGATACATACGTTGCGTAACGACTTAGCTAGAATATTGCAGAGACATATATTTGACTTTGGTACTGTGATATGATTTTCATAAAATTACTTTTTATGAGGAAGAAAGCCTTTGCTATCAAGAGTTCATTAAATTTTATACGAATACGAGAAATGTACGTGTTTGTGCGTGAAAGGATTAAGAATATCTGTCACCAGATTGTCTGCCTTAAAGTTTCATCAGAAAGCGAACCATCTTATCATAAAAGTATTGAGTTGGGTCTTAGTTACGAATGTTTTAATGTTCTTAAGCTTCACCATCTCAAAGGCGCCACAACGTTTCTTACTGTCACTGTACCTACAACCCACTTCAATCTGAAATATAGGCTTTAAAATAGTTTTCTCGTGTTTTTGTGTTGGAATCAAAATATTGAAATAGAGTTCTCTACCCTGATTATTCCGTCGTGTATGAAAGGAACTGAATCATTTTGAACAAAACTTTGAAATTTTATCTTTTAAATGTTAGAAATCGTGTAGCAATTACACTTAGCTTTTGCACTTTCCATAATTAATACTAATTCTGCGGCATGAACGTTCGCCTCTACCTTGACGACGCTATACTTCGGCACTTGTTGTCTGATACAATTGTTTCCTATAAGAAGCGGAATTCAGCGGTGCGCATCTGTTTTTTATTTATTGATTTCTCAAGCCAGCTTAGAAAACTGCAATTGTAGCCTCATGATCAATTTTGTCAATTGCTTTAAGTGAGGAGTGTTTTATGAAAATGATCACCTCTTTGGATAAAACATACAAATAGTCGATAGCAAAATTTTGACATTTTTACATTTCACACGCAATTCTGATAGCACAATTTAGGCGCTTAAAATAAAGAGGGAAAAAAAAGGAAGAAGAACGGGGAAACAAACTGTGGTATCCCCATAAATGTTTTATGTCGTTACGATTGCCTGCATCCTATTTGCAATCGGGAGCGTGCATGTTCTTTTTAAGCTTTTTTTTTATTGACGGAAGAAGCTTTTTTTGGAAACAATTTCAGTGGCTGGAGTACTAGGGAACCTGCTGGAAGACGAAATTAACTACTTAATGACAATTTATCAAATGTTCTGCGCACGCGCTCAGGTATTAAATGAAAAGCAAGGTCAAACTTTTGCGTCATGTTTTGACATATCTTTTCTCTTCAGGGCATTAGTGAAATTGTAATTTATAATACGTGAATAGATAAGCTTTTTAAAGTTACTGCAAGTGCCGCAGGCCTTTATCAGAACAGTACCACTCGTGGTGTGAACAGCTTCTCTTCGACTGAGTCTCTGAACCCCTATTCTTACAAAAGATTACCAAACGTTTCTGTTTAAAATTGGATGATTTTAATGGTCAAGTCTAGTTGATTGCGAAACACTTCCTCTGGCGATCAAAGATGCGGCTCATAATGCTATGTTTGCTGTTTATCAACCCAGGTTATTCGCACTACTACAGAAACTACAGCGACCAAGGTTAGATTTCCTTTGGTTTTTAGAATTTCCCACGTATTAACGCAAAGTGAATTGTCGTGCGTTCAGGAAAAGAGAGAAAATGAAAGTACACTCGCAAATGCGAATTGTTCTTTTCCGTCCATTACTTATTCTAAGAAATCAAAATTTTTAAAAGGGGTCAACTTGGGGTGATTGTTTCTGTTTTAGTTTATCATTTTTATTTGGAACGTTCTTCTAATTTTACTGAGTTGTAATTTCGCGTAAAATTTCAGCGCCTTTGGGTATCTGCTGAGGTTTTTTTTTTATTAAAACGCTGAATATCACTAGTTTAGCGTATACTTGAATATTGTGTGTTGATGAAGTGTCCTTCACGTTTCGTTCAATATGCGCCCATTTCTAAGATAAACAAACTTTTATCTCTTGACTTTTTAGAATTCAATTATGCAGGTAGTTTCGATGAGTTTTGAAAAAAGTAGACTTTTTTCGGCCTTGATGAATGTTTGGAAGCGTAATGCATTTAATCCGTCTCTTTGTGATACCGCGAATCTCTTCTTCTCTCCTCAAACCTGTTTCTTTTTTTGACCGTGAATTTTGGGTATCTAATTTACGATTTCTTATCTTTTCTCTTGGCTCTTCTTAGCTTATGGAAAAAAATGCTTTTTACTTCACATTTTTTCACCGTTGACTCTCTGCAAAACGTTTGTGCGTCAGTTAGGAACATCATTTTATCTGGAATGATCGCTGCGGCGAAATAGTAACTTCAGTGTTTGCGCAGAATGACTGTACAGATCGGAGGAAAGTTCTGCTGCCGGTCTTTCTGAGAATGACGTGAGATTTTTATCAGATAGTTGGGTTTTCAGTCACTTGTTACGCCGCAGAGTTACGTGGCTCCTATGACATTCTTATTTAGTAAACTTAAAGAAAGCGGCAAACTAACAGAGTTTTGCCGTACAATAATATACTTATTGTATTTCATCAATTATATCTTCTCTGCAGCTTTTGCATCATAATCAAACGAGCTATGGATAAATTTCAAAATGATAAGCTGAAAAAACATCGCGGACAGTTTGCTATAACAAGCTACAGCTGCGACGGTAATCTACATTAACTTAGCTCCCATGCTGCTTTTGAATTAGGGAAACATATATTACACTGCTTCTAATAGTGTGGGAAGTTTTTTTTATGAAAGTGTCATTTTCTTTCAGAATACTCAAAATAGATTACGTGCAGAAAAAATGTCTGTTTTCCCAACCGCAGCTTAGCCTTTTTCGCTTTTTAAGGTCATGATCAGTTGTCAGCGTAACTAACCTATACACGAAGTTCAGCTATATGAATAAGTCTTGAGTTTACTTTGTCAACATTCAATGGTTTCACATCTCTTGTTGCATTAGTCAAAACAAAACAATGCAAAACGAAATAGGAGCGTGGTTTACAATAAGTTCATTTCTTCCCCAAAACCCTTCACAAACATAAACGAAACCAAAATTTTCACAAACATAAACGAAACCAAATTATTTTTTGTCTTGTAAAATTTATTTTGATAAAAGTATTTGCCCGAGGTTTCACTAAAGTCCAGACTTTTCTCAAAGATAAATTAATGTGTTGCGTGTCCTAATCGCATCATTGATCCAAGCAGTTGAATATTTCAACAGGAATTTGTCACGTCCTCAAATTTGATGAATTGTTTTTCACAGTTCAATGAAACAGCCATATAATATTGATCTTCTCGAGTATTTGTTTCCGCCCTGATCTATCGTTTCTTTTTCGAGAGACCAATTTTCATTGCTTTTTAATTCGGTTTTTAAACAACAGAAAGTATTAATCTGTTTGTTTATGTATTATTCAATATATTCTTTCGGTGGTTCATCAATTACATTGACGCATAAAAACCAAACAGTATGTTGACTGGTTCATGATAATAATAAGTTACTAATTTAGGTTCCAAGACTTGTAGTATGTTGTCGATAGAAAATTCTGGGTTGTTAACATGGTGCCATGTCTACTACGTTCGCTTATAAATTAACTCTCTTGATGAAAGTATTTTCCCACTTGCGTTGCCATTTATAATTTAGTAGGTAGAGCAGAGGAAACCATAGATTAGACGTTTGGATTTCGGTCGGGATAGTTTTGAGCTAAACTTGAAACGGATCTCTTTTGTGTTTTAATCTGAAGCTATTTGCGAAAATGTTTCACTTAAATTTACAAAAATTTAGTTCGCTTAAAACTTTTAGTTTAAACGTTGTTTTCTTTCAAATGTGTTTATGGAAACGAGACAGCCGGCCTGTTACTTAACTCAGTCTTCGCTCTGTTGCATCCTCGCAAAATACTCAGGTTATCGGATAGACTAAGGCCAAATCTATGGCAAGCAGTGATATTTCTGCGACTGAGGTATTTCCGAGAATGTGCGATGGGCAGAATGCCACTTATCCAGGATTGTCTCAAACTCGACACAATTGGTGGCCATGCACAAGAAATTGGCAAAATACAATAAGCATTTGGACTACCAGTAGTGAAAAAGAAAGAACCTAAAACGAAAAGAATATCGGCAAAATACGATGTGTTTATATTTTAGGGATTTCTAATTGCCTGATCTTGTAAAATGATAGAAGGGAACTGCACTACTTCGTTATCATGTACTCTTTCTTGGCTCTGTAAACCCATACGAATCAAATTTTGTGTCATTCATTCATAAATAACGCATCTTCTACAATTCAATGTTTCCCCTTAGGGAGGGTAGGGAGGGGGGGTGTCATAAGTTCGACTACGAGAGAATTACCATTTTTTCTTCCAGAAGAGCTCTTGTTTATGACATAAGCTTCTTCTATCTGCACTCAGCGAACAAGTCTCAACATAAGTTGTTTTACTTTACAGAGTGCACCACATATGTTATTGCTGTTTTAATATACCGCTGATTGTCGACAGCTTTGTTAACGAGCTTAAGTTTGAGGGAACTGTTGAGTTGAGTATTCATAAGGATGAAATTTGACTACGTAGCTTTGTTTTTTCAAGATTAAGACAAGGTAACAGAAACACAATTTGAATTGTACCGCAGATGGTTTTATTTTCCACAAATGTTTTTTCTTTTATCTTATGTCTAAGTGAAGTGGAAATTATTTGGACAATCCGACCCCCCTGAGAGTTGAGGAAGAAATTAATTAAGTGGTTGATTAAAAGAGGAAATGAGATTTGGAATAAATTCTCTTTTCTTGCAACTCGGGCTCCTTCGATATGAATTAAATCTACTGTAACTGGGATTTCATTGAAAAAATCACGGCAAACTCTCTCGTAATCGATATAAGCAAATTTTCAACGACATGAAAGTAGATCTATACAGAGAGCTAAACTTTACTTAACAGCAAGCCACCATTTGTGAACAACAAAGCTAGATCATCATTCCACATGAGACATTCATTCTGACTCTGTGTCAATTGTTGGATACATAGATAGAGTCGAATGAGACAAAATAACATTATCTATGAGACGATTGGTAAGAAATATTCAAACATTATGAGACATGGAAAAAGAAAAACACCATGGAACCATTTTTAATAGGAGAAACAGTAGTCAAAATACTTGTTACAAAGTGACACCTATGAGTTCGTTACCAGCTCCAAAACTCATTACTCAAAACTTACAGATAGCGGAGACACTGATCATAAAACTATGAATGAAATCCCTTGTTAGGGAACTGTAAGGGCGCAAAACACACTGTGAACGTAATTGAAAGCAGAGTCATAATAATTTGCCGGCCAGTAGAGAACTTATACTAAAACAGTGCAATTGATTTTAATGTTTATATTTGTTTCTCTCGTGGAAAGGGCGTGCAGCACAAGGCTTGTCATATCGCGTGTTGTGATGCAATAAAACCCAGACACTCTAGAAGTTATCACTGAAAATTTTTACCTGGCGTGAAATTTTACGTTCCCTAATTCTGTGTCGATTTTCAATTCATATGTACAGAATATTTAAGTAAAGATAGAAATGTATGACTTTGAAAATGCAAAGTAGTCAAAGCTGGCTATGATTAAAATTAAATTTGGTCACGTATGCTTTAGGAAATTTCCGTACCTTAACGTGACTATGTGAGTTGAGTCACTTTCCAAGAGTTACCGACTTAACAAAAATTGGTTTCTGAAAAAACTGTACTCTTTTTTTTCTCTGGATTCTAATTTTTAAAACCTTGAGGAAGAGATTGGGGTATTTTATTTAAGTGCCCTTCATCAAGCACTGTCATAAAAGTCTAAATCAAATCGATCGGTTGGATTCATGTTTTGTCCGTCACAGACCCCACAGCGAAATGTTATTGGGAATTTTTGAGGTAGTTGACTCGTACTCGCATTTCAGATCTTCTGCCTGATTCTCCGTGTATTTCATTGAATAAACTTTTATTGACATATGAACAATTTTGTAATATTTTTTGGGTCAGCTACAAAAATTCCCGGTCACTTTCGAAATCCAGTGATGACACAAAGGTAACTTTATTAATTAATCAAATTTTAATTTCCTTTTCAAGTTTCATTTGTACCGACTTGTGGGCCTATGGCATGAACTAAGTAACTGTGAGAAACATTGTGTTTTACTTAATGGTGATCATCTATACCACAAATTCTAAAATACCTTCTAGAATCGTCCGGGAACCACCCGCCATTGACTATGCAATTGTGAAGACTTTTGATGTTGGCATTGACAGAAAAACCGTCGTAAAATATTTATTTCTCCCCTAGCTTGCTTTAGTTGATAATTTTTTCTTCTGTCTCGCGCACAGTCCTCCTCACTCAAGCTGGTGACATCATATTCCTTTTTTTCGTTTTAAAACAGCAGCCGTTTCTGTTGAGATTTTTTTTGAGCGGATTGTTTGCGTTACTCTTTGTGGCTCTCCAATTCTTTGTTTTGTGTATTCTATCAGCTCAAACCGCTGTCCCTAGGACACAAAAACATCTACAGTATGTTGAGCAGACGAAAACAATTTACATTTCCTTCATTGGTAATCCGGTCTTCAAGTGCAGTAATTACTAATAGAAAGTTGTGCAAATTACTTTTTCAAAACTGTCGAAATGAAGATAAATTTGAGAATTGTGGCAGCTTTATTCATCTCTTAGGTATTCCTGTCTGTCATCATTAATTCATAGATGCTTACAAAACAGTTTAGTTGTTTAGTCGAACTCTCTTCTGCTGCGGTATGTGGTTGGGTGATATGTTTTGTCGATGCCTTGTTTTTTTTGTCTTGAAAGCATTATCTTTCTTCATTTCAAAATATGCTTTAGGCACTAAAACTTGGCGTTATTCCTTTAGTTGCAAAGTCCAACGTATGAGTACAGGTTGTCTAAATCACACGTGTTCATTGGAAGTCGTAACGAAGGCAGATGTTTTTAACAAATCGGTCAGCGGAATGTAGTCTCTGAAACGAAGTGCACGCAATACTCAGAAAATAACACACACTGAAGTTCTAATTTAGTGCGTGGGGCGGGAAACCATGCAGTCGACAATATGCAAAAGTCGTCGAATTGCACCATATCTTGGTTATTTCAATACCGGAATCTCCCTATTTTGCTTTGTAAACTGTTTGGAAGCGTAATTCTAAATATTTGCTCTGCAGTATGAGATATCTCTTGGCAGCAGTAACTTTACTCTCGGTTTTTATGGAAAATGGGCTACAGGAGCTTGTTGAAGTCAGTTCCTCATTGGCAAATATAACAGGTTCTTATCCAACACTTAGACACACAATTTCAATTACTTTTTAGCCCATTAAATAAAATTTGGAGATTTGAACCTGACCGCTTCTCCTCTTTTGCTGCAGCTAATTGCCGTATACCACTTGGGATGGCGAGTGGAGCGATAAAGAACGAACAGATCACAGCATCATCAGTTTATAATGAAGAATTCTCAAAATTTGGAGCACATCGGGCTCGACTCAATTTAACGAGAGGTTACAGAGCCGACCGAAAACAAAGCGGCGGTTGGATTAAAGTGGAGTTAGAGAAGCAAATGGTGATAACTGGAATTGCTACTCAAGGATACGGCGATCCTCGAGTTCCCGAATGGACCGAACAGTACATGGTCATGTATTCAAACGGCGGAGATTATCTGTACTTTCAAAACCTGGAAGGTGACTTAAAAGTAAGTCGTTAGCGGCGACGAAATGCTGCTGTTAGTCAGATTACCAATCGTTTTGAAATTCACATCAATCCTCTGTGAAGGTTCGGTCAGATTTCTTCCAAAGCCAGAGGTAGCATTTGTTTTGGATTTTAGTTAAAAGGGATTATCTAGAAATTAAATGCATCGTTACACAAGTTTATTAAGTCATATGAAAGTTGCTGATTCCGGTTTATCAGTGGGAGAGTTCCAATTACGATATGTGCCTTACATATTCGTCTGCTCTCAAGACGATGATGCGAATTGAGCCATGAAATTAATAAGGTCACCCCTATATTTTGAGCCATTCTGTTGCTTGAGGAGGTTAGCTAGCATGAAATTAACCATAATTCTGTCGACGATAAAATGAAATTAGCTCGGTAGGAGTTGTAGGTGCCGCGAAAAACGTTTTTCTCTATAAACTTAAACACTAACAAAATTCCCTCATCGTATTTAGTGAACTCTGTAAACCGTAACTAAGTGTTAGGAGCTTTAGGTTTAAAAACTATCTCGGTTTCTCATTGTAGCATAAAAGAAGTTCTCGCCGCCACCACAACGAATTTAATAATTAAACACCTTTTTTTACAAGAAGCGCATGCCTAAGCCCTCTTTCCAATCCGTTTGCTGAATACAAAAAGACTATCATGCTAAATTTAATCAAATAAAAATTTATTATCAGCTTTTCTGAACTTATTGAGGAGAAGAATCCGCCCGCTTTTGTGAGCATAATAATATTTGTAAAAGAGTTACGCTGTGAGTGGAAATAGACATATGAATTTTGTATTGTATCGTCTGACATGTGGCTGCTATCTTATTAAATTCACTTCAAATTGATTAAATTTCATATCATTTCGATTGAAAGAAAATCGCAGATGATGATAAGTGTTATTTTGGAAAAAAAAGAGCTTTAAATACTAATATCTGACCGGTCTAGCTAAGCGATGTTCAAAAAATGTACGGAAGTTGGTCATAAAATTGATAAATTAATAAAGAGGTCTGTTTGCGTTGCGGCACAGTACAAAGTTGCATTGATATTAATATCTGAAAAAATAGGAAACCATGTATCGTTTGTGTTTTTTTTGCGATTGTTTGAAAAACAAGATTACTATAGATTTTGGGGGAGATTTAACCATTACGAACAATGGTATAAATTTATGTTTTAGAGGTTATCCATCGTTATCATACTTAACGAAATAAAGTTAACTGGTGTTTAGCCAATTCAACTAAGATAAATTTGTTGTAAATTTACATGTACATCTTTTCGCCTATGAGTTTGGCAGGAATTGATTTCTCATTTGAAAAGAAAATCATCGTAGTTTCTATCCAATGTCTGGATTAAGCAATTTCCGTTCTTGATTAGATACCTAATTTTATTTGCCTATGCCACCGTCTGATTGACATGCATTTACTGGGGTCAATACGTATTATACCATGTTTTTTAAATTTTATTCCTTTTTTGTGGTCAGTACATGTAGATTATATTTGTTGTATAATTGTTATTACATTGTCTTCGGAAAGCATAGCGAGCTTAATTACTATTTAGTGACAATTACTTGCCACATGAATGTTGGTTGGAAATATGACCAACTGAACGTCAACGAGAGTATATATTTCTGAAATACAAAAGAAGAGGTCACTGATTACAATGCCTGTGAAGTTTTTCAGAGATATGTTAGCTGTGGATAGCATGGCCTTCTATTTATCATAAACGAAATGGCTTCAGATCAGTTTTATCTGTCGAAGGTAGCAGACAGCCCTATAAAACTCATTTTTATAAATATAAAATATTGCGATTAGAGACCGTTAATATATGTTTTTTTTAATTTTCATATTCCCTGCTAAGATTTTCCCAATTTTCCTAAATCTGCTGAGTGAAACTCTTACTTTTTCTTACGTTCTTATTGTTATCTTTGTAGACTTTTACTGGCAACAAGGATAGCAATAGCATTAGACGAAACGAGTTTCCACTTCCTCAAATTGCAACGTCCATCATGCTTATGGAGTCTGGAGTGCATGAAAACTTTGCAATCAGGATGGAATTATATGGCTGTGAACCTGGTAGGAGTTATGTAATTGATTGAAAATGATGCTTGTACATGTATTTCTTCACGTGTCAAATTTTTGTCAATTTATAGTCAGTTCCCCAAGGTCTACATGGAAATTCATTTCATTTTGTTAAAAGCCTCACATAAAGATCAGTCTGAAACATTGCACTATCACCATAGTAACTCAAATTCTAGTACCGATTGCAAAAAACACGTCTGTATACTTTTAGTGAGTTTTAAGTCTTCACCAACATTCAGAGGACACTCGCTTAATGTGTTCACAGGGTGCTCGTTGAATTGTGTTTCTAGGTATTTGACATTTGGGCGACGAACGTGTCTATTCTATAAACTGTAATTTCGCTCCCTCGAATTGTTTTGAAAATCAGATTTCTTTTATGGATTCGTTCGATTGTTTTAGATCATGTTATTTTGACACCTTTCCCGCTGACTTTTTCTGCTCGTCTGCTGTTTTCGAACCAGGGAACAAGAATATGGTTTGCACGCAAAGCGTCCTCACGACGGCGATCATCACGCAACACATTTCAAAGCTACAGTTCTCCGTCCCCATAGGTCTCCCAGATTTGCCACACTCGCAAATTATGTTAACCACAACGGCTTCAAATTCTGTCAACACGTTGTTTTATTTTTATTACTTAAGATTCCTGTAAAAAAAAAAATAATTAGAAAAAAAAAAAAAAAAGAAAACGCTCACATTCTCAGTTCAAAGTTTATTTCTTTCATTTCATGTGACTTCTTTTCGCATGGTTTTTCATAACCTCTCTAGCGGCTTATATTTCCATTGAGAATTCACGTCGTATGGAAATTTGTTCAAGGTGGCGTTTTTGCCATTGTTTTTCTTTTAGGTCAAGAACTTATTATAAATATTAGAAAGTCTTTTGCCCTACTTATCACACTTCCTTTTTGTAATTATTGGCCGGAGTTTGTTTGTGGATACATTTATCCTGGCCAAATAATTCGCTTAGATTGCACCACACGTGCCTCAAATTTTCAACAAGGTATTCTGTTTATGTGCTTTTACATCGATACCTTGATATGATCTAGTGAAGCGGGCTCTACTGCGGGTTGTTTGCCGGTAAAATTCAGGATTTAGAAGAGGCTTTTTAGGTTTTCATTTCTTTTCCGTTTAACTCTTTAACTCCCGTGAGTGACCAAGACAGGACTTCTCCTCCCTTTTATCTTTTGTTGTGCTTTAGCTTAGATACTTTATCGAGGTTTGCGATTTGAGAATTGCGTTTTGTTTAATTACACAGTCCACCATGGGCGACTGCAGTTCTTTATTGGGGTTTGCATACCAAATGTACCCGTGTCACAGTTATAAACTTGGGTATTCAATAAGCTTGTCCTCATTTTACTCTTAAAATGCTCAAAATTTGCTTACTGGAATTCCAAAAAGTTGCTAAAAAATTGCCCAAAATGCAAAAAGTTGCATAAATTGACTGATATTTTCATATAAACGCTAATTAAAAGTTTTATTTTTCGGCCTTCACAATAATTGCTAATAACCTTGGTCAATAAAAATAGCTTAAAACTAAGCTTTAAAGAGTTAATGGCGAATGTAGGGGGAATTCAAGAATACTCTTAAGTCTAACGGAACAAAACGTATGGTTCATTTGACGCCTTTCCGAAAGTCATTTTAGCAGATTGTCCGTTATAATCTTAGGTAAAGATCGCAATAAGCCCGCGAAACGCTGCCAAGTGACAGGTAGTGTGTTCGAAAGGTTGATAAACATTCATGAAATACGCATAAATTGAAGTTTTCCATCGCTGACGATTTTATGCTTAATATGTGCTATAAAGTTATGTTTTTCTCAAAAATTGCTCAGAAAGGCAAAGATTGCTCGAGGTTGCTAGAACTGGAAAAAGTTACTCCAAACACAAGGACTTACGAGCACAATTGGGACTGGCCTAGTATTAAATAGAGTTTTACAGTCCCTCTGGATGGTCATAGTAATGAAATAAATCTTATTTGCTAAATTGTTACCTTGAGTGAAACATTCAAACCAAAGGATGAAAATTGATGCAGAGAGTATTATGATGAATTGTAAATAGGTTCTTCAGCCAAATCTGCAAAGGGATTATCTTTACTATTTCTCTGTCTACTAGTGACGGCTTGAGTTTTCCGAAAAGTTTTTCCATATGATGATGCAGTTAAAAGAAGTCGAAATCGCTGGAAATAAGGCGTAAGAGCCCAGACTACCTACGTACTTATCAACTTGAAAGTGTTGAAATTTCTAGAAAAATCAGGTGCCAATAATTATTCGTACATCATCAAACACTTGAAAGCTTTCTAGTTCTTTCAGGCACGTGTATATAGTAACTCTTCCTCTCTTTTTATACTTGTAGATGGAAATTAAGAAAACTTTTGTAAGTCTCACAGAGCACGAACACGTACTAGCAAAAAACTCAACCCACACGTGTCTCATTAGGTTCGTGAATTGAGCCCGGACCACAGTAGTGGGAGGTACGTTCTCTCGCTACTTCGCAATTCTGGCTCTCCGCATATTCAACAAAAATCATTGTTGTGAGTAGTAATTGCCACTTAATCACATGCGCTTGCTATTTTCAACTATTATGCTGAAAGCTAAATGGAAGCGTCAAAGCAATTTACTGTTGCCACTATCGTATCGTCATGTGTTAGCCATTTTGGTGACTCGTCGGTTTCCACTGCAAGCTTCTCTCGTTGCTTGGACATGTTTTCGGTAAGAAATATGCTTTCAACTCAAGGGATAGGGTGAGGAAAATAGTGCCTACTAGGAATAACTGGAAATACGAATTACTTGAAACAGCGCCAAATTCGTCACACCCTGCAAAACCATGTTTAGAAAATAATGTGTTATTGTATGTATAGCAGGTGAAGGTGCTAGAATGATCGTTTAGGATACGTCCATAATTGTTTTTGGAACCAAGTAAGATATTGTGTCTAATTTTGCTTCTTGTATTTGGAAGCCTGTAACCTCATTTTGGTTCAGTCACGTACCTTTATTCAAGTAAGACCAATGTTGAGGTATGACGATGGGCTAACGCTCGAAACGTCAGCTTTGAAACTTATCACGGTGGCCAATTTACGTTATCAACTCAGTTGATAATACTAAATTACCTTGTTATTTTCCGACGCGGCACTACAGTTTCTCTAGACACTTACCCCCTTTATTCAATGTCAATTTTGTTTTCTTTTTCGGATTTGTGAAATTTTCCATAGGTGTTGTATGGTATCCGCTTCGACACTTGAAACAAATTACCTTTAAGCCAATGTATATTAGATACCATATGAAAGACGAAGGAATCAAGAAAGAAAACAAATCAGAGTATTCCCAAAGATTCGAAAGCCAAACCTTCCTAATTCGCTTTCAATGCTTCAGCACGGAGCCATCGTTACTAAACTAGGAGATGTAAAAGGTGTGGCAAAGGTTCTATCTATCTACATTAAATGTAGATCAATCCTTACTTGTTACTAGACTTGGTAAAACAAAGATAGAGAACAATAACGTACGTTTGGCAGGTATCTATTGGATCTTAAATACTAATTTGAGAGAATTTGCTGAGTGGTGAGTTAGGAATCTGGTTTTGTAATGCGGCTTTTGGGACTGGGCACAAGCATTAGCCATGTCACCATGGCTACCATGCCATCCAGTGGGTTTGTTCTCGCGATCGGTGGCCTGAACGGAACCCAGTGGTTGCACGTTGTACCTACTAATGTTTATGCCTACACTATACTGATCACTGACAAGTCGTCTATGGAGAAATTTGATCGTCAATCTATATGATTTACAGGTTATTATTTCGTGGTTTGGCTTATGCTTGGAGATTTTAGCTTTTCAACAACCTATCTTGATAAGCAAGAGGTGGAATACCAAGCTACATCAGACGGCGTCGTGGACGAGGTATGAGGCGTCTGCGTTATTTTATTTGATAAAGCCACCAATACGGCCTCGTGATTTTCAAAATTGGCAGGGCATTATTAATTTAATTTTTTTTCTTAAATCTCGGATGAAAGCAAATTATGAAATGAAAACATAACGCCCGAAATTTTCGGACCTCCTTGGCGGAAAAAGTCAACCACATCTGACAAAGATTTAAAAGGTTTTGTTTTTAAGACCAGCTTTTTTTTCAATGGCTCACTGGAAAAAAAGCAAACAAACAAACAAACAAACAAAAGCAGGAAATCCTTGAAAATACTTGCTTCGTAAAAATTTTCACTTTGCGTTTCCTTCGTATCTTAAAGGTCTGTTTCCTTTTTTTCCTCGTAGGTGGTACTTGCTCTGAAAGGAACTCCTGGTTTCTTGTTTGCTAGTCTGCTACAGTTTAGGTTGGTTTTTTAGCGGCTGTTGACTAATTTAAGCAGCTAGATTTGTTTGATATCCTTCAACCGGTTGCTAGTCAATTTAAGGCCAAAAACGTTATATTTGACCTCTTCTCGAGATCAGTAACAGCCTGGAATTCAGAAACTTCAATTGAACGGACCGACTATCCTATGCATATTTAGACCTTGTTCCAAACAGACTCACTCTTACGTTTTTTCGACTTGAGTTGTGTGCCATTCTAGAACAAGGTGATATAATTGTACTTCGTAAGTTACTTGAATGTTCTGGTGTTATGTGGACAAATTTTGGTGATCTTTATACCAGGAGGTTCTATCATTTGATTTTTATTCCTTAGCCCACAGGCGTTCGGTGCCGAGATAAAGCTCAGAGCAGAGTTGAACATCAAATGTATTGAAGCCAGCGTGCACGGTATAACAGCTGCTCTGACAAGCTTCATGCAAATGCACCCAGGGCTGTTCGACACGCATTACATCAAACTGCAGTACCCTTGTAAGTCAAAATGCAATACTTGCAATCAGTCTGCGTAAAGCTATTGTATGGCTTGATAATGAATACCAAGACGGTACGGGTTGGTCTTGCATTTACAGTGACAGAGATGACGTATTCTTAAATTCGATTGTAATCAGAATTTTGAAAATATAAACGAAGTTGATCAACACCATGTTTTTTTAATGATTTATACTTATTATTTTTGGCAGTGGATTATAACTGTCGACCGCCTGACGTACATATTCATCTTAACAAAACGTACAGAAAGGCAGCAAGGATAACAGCGGTTGATATGTTTGTAATCATTGGAGAAGTTACTACTCACTGCAACTCTTCCTCTTCTTTGTTGCTTCTGTCATGGGAAAGGAGCAAGGTGAATAAAGAAAGCGGAGCATTCGCTGTGGGTCCATCCTTGGATAAATTTAGAGGCTCTAAGAACCTTACTATCGAACCAAGGACGCTATCTCCTGGCTTATACTACTTTAGACTAGTAGCTGAAATGACTAAGGAGGAAGGTGCTATTGATTCTGATTTTGGTTTTCTAGAAGTGGTGTTACCAGACATTGTTGCTAAGATTCGTGGGAAGAACAAAGTAGTTAAGGGCACAGGCAAAATTATTCTAGACGCATCAGATTCTTATGACCCTTATGAAATGGATCTGAAAGACCAGGGATTGGTCTTTACATGGCTCTGTCGAAGGGAGGAAGAAGATTTCTCGAACATTCAGTTACTTCCAATCGACCAATCTAATGGAAGGGATAAGGTCCTTGGAGGATGCTTTGGATATGGTGTCGGAGAGTTGAATACAACAGAACCTACGATCGAGATCGATGTCAGTGGAATGATTTCGCAGAGTAGTTATGTTTTCAAGGTTATTGTTCAGAAAAATAACAGGAGTTCCTCTGCCAATCACACTCTATTGATAGAGTCGTCCATTTCCTTTGCTATCAGGTGGGTTATTTGGAGGTATATCTGTTTATTCAGAATGCTTCCAACAGTGGCCTTATGGCGTGCATGCTTTGTAAAAGTAACCGGTGATACGTCTGACATATCGAGTTAACGCAGAGGAGCCTCACACAGATCCCAGAAGCCAAAAGCATCGGAAGTAATATGTTGCAGGTAGAATCAGATTCCAAGGTATAATGTTACGATGTTAAATCTTAGCTATTTTTATTACCAGGTGTAAAACCAATTGTGGTGATAGAGTCACCGCCAGTAAGCGAATGGTGATCGAGTCCACATGCACAGGGCTCTCCTGCAAAACAATCAAGTCGTATAACTGGACACTTTACATGATCGACCCTTGGAGTGTTAATGAAACGTGGGTAGAAGAAAAGTTGGGGGATAACATACTCACCGAACTAGACAGTCCAACTCTGGTGTTCAAAGGGAAATTAGACCAGTGGGAGAATTCTCTAAAGGATGACAGAACCTACAGGCTAAGAGGCATAGTTTATCTGACAGATGGCACTACGGAAGAGAGCGAGATCTCTTTCAGAACTAACTCAGCTCCTAATCATGTCGATTTTCCTGGCTGTAAAGTGAATCCGGAGATGGGGCATGCAGTGACCACGGAGTTTTTCATTTCCTGTGATGGGTGGTATGATGATGACTTACCTCTCAGTTATGAGTTTAGGTACGTCGAGTGAGCTTATAATTCGATAGATTTCGAGTTTTATCGTAAGGAAGCTGTCGATTTCTTGTCCAAATCTCGGTTAAAAATATTTCTTTAGGTGGGTTGACACCTTCAGTTGCCTCGGTTTCGAGTTGCACGAACTAATCAAGTGCGAGTCAAACTGATTTCCATTTTTGTTTCCCTGTGGAATCAATGAGTCTTGATTTCTTGGTTATTAAGTGGAGGTTTACAAGAGATGGTTTCACTTACATCTGTCAACGAAGAACATGACTCATCCTTTCTTCTCTGGTTCTTATTCCTTGCAGCTATCACACAAACACTGGTTCTGTGGTTATACAAAAAGGATCATCACCGAATGCAACCACGAGACTACCTCTAGGGGATCCACTACACAATTATGCGATAGCATTGGGGATACAGATTTTAGATTCCCTTGGAGCGAGTACGCTGGAAATCCACGTTGCCATGGTATGTTTCATACTAAAAAGGTTTGTTTATTACTTTGGATGGCATACATTTGATCTAAATTTCTGAGGGAAAGCGCTTCGAATTTTTGCATCTTTTAGCATGTTGTTTCTTTTAACGGTTAAACGATATCCGCTCCAGCCGCAACTCATGCAAGCTACCCTCTAGATGAGATGTCAGTCCCTTGCAGGTTACCCTTACGCCCTCCCCCCTCACTTCAGAAGTAAAATACATCCTTAGCGCGGTGATACATGGGTCTCTAAGCGAGGGCTGCCTGTGTCTCTAGTTAAAACCTGTACAAAACTAAGTTTGTATTATGAATCTGTTTAACAGGACTACTGTACATTTCAGGTTGAGGCAATGCCCTCCGAGGATGTTTCTGGAACCCTGATGAATATGGCCAGTGGGGAAGAAAGCCCTTTAGGTAATCTCCTCAAATCAGGTGATGTCGACAAAGCCGCCACAATGGCGTATGCTGTACTGTCCATGGTAGACACAAGCGAGGGAAAGATGGACAGCGATCAAAAGATATCTGTAAGTTTACTTAAATGTGTGAGACTGACTGTTTCTAAAATTGTCCTTCCGCACAAAACACATCTCATAGATTGCACGAGAAAAATGTTTTGCATCTCTCAAAGCTTTGGAAAGTAGATGCGCTTTTATGGTACTAGGAACTTTTTCCGAAAGTAGATTTTAAAAACTTCTTAATGAAGGCTGCGATAGGTACACAAAACGAGAAACGTCATTCGATATACAAGTATCACCGAAATACTGTTTTGATGCAATCGACAAAATTAATTTCATGGTAACTTTGACGTTTTATTTAACTCAAGAACTGCAGGTTCTATTATCTGCTCCTTTTCACATCGCATCATTGCGTTTACCTCCTCAGTTATTTCTTCTAGCCGGGGTTTCTTCATCTTGGAGTTATTCATCTCGACACGACTTCATCCAAGTATACTTTTGTCACTTCAGTCATTTGTGTATTTCAACACTCAGTCTCTTCTTTGTGCACCTGTCTTTGATTTTCTAACGAATTTAAGAAAAAAAATTTTCAGAAGCTTAACTAGTTTCCCCTTCCTCTCTGCATTGTGCGTATGCTAGAACTGAGCGCTATCTATACAGCGAAGCTTCTTATAACCGTGGTCCAACCAATATATGTAATTTTATTATTTCATTAACCTCCAAGGATTCAATTTGCCTTCTCCTATCTCTCAAAAGAGATTAAGGTCAATAGCGGGTTCTAGTGCATTGGCCAAGTTGCATTAATTCTTATTCTAACCTCCTTCATAGTAGTTACACTGAAGAATTTTTGCACTCTGATAGCCAAGATAGAGAAAAGGAAAAGGAGCCGCAGAATGGAGCCAAACAGCCAAACTAATGTTTGCCTCTTATTTCTGAATCTATTACCATTCCTGAGTACATCAGTCCATTACTCTATGTTCATTCATCTATTTATCATTCGCCTCGATCCTGCTTAAAAATTCTAGGCACTTGGTCCACGGCTGAAGTGATAAACATGTCCAATGCATTCATAGATCCCAACCACACACTCCAACAGAGCTAACGTGTTTTATGCTTTCACAACCACAAGTTATTCTGAACACTTTTCACACTGAGCCCAGGCATACCAACACTGCTAGAAAACTCGAAGCTCCGGGATCCCGGCGTTTAAACTGTGAATGAACCTAGCCACTAACGTCGTAGCTAAACGGTATGAGGTTACTTGTCGGTAGATCATGACCGGGTGACGTGGAAACTGAAAATAGTAAATCACAGGAAAGCTTGATCCAATGTTAAATTGTAATGTCTTACATTTTGCAAGGACCCATATCGAAGTTTCAGTCTGCGGGAAAATCTGATAAATCTGTTGAAACTCTCTTACACGATATTGCAGGACTTCATAAGTACTTTTGTAACAGAAAAAAGTAATGGAAAAAATCCTAATTTTGAAAGGTTTTTACTGCATATTTATAAGGACAGAAGAGCCGACAAATAATTATTAGAAGAGTTAAAAAGTTATGAAGGCTTCTCGGTTTGAACAAAACTAAGCAGTGCGCTAAACAAACAAGGAGGCATGTGGGATATAGATTTCGACACTTTTGATACTCTAGACTCATTGAGTCACCCTTTGTGAGTAGTTTTGTCTCTCTGTCTTTTTTTTCTGCTTCCTGCACAGCGATGGATTAACTTCTTTGATCTGTGTTGCCAAACTTCCTGCTTGTGGTACTGGACCTTATTAGCTCCTTCAGGAATGGAGAACACCTCATGTTTTTGGGTGAATGTGTACTTGTTTCAAGCAGCCATCGTTCCAGCAAGATTTCTCCTCCTTGTGGTTTCCACTTGTATTTTTGGAAAGAAAAAGTCGCTACTTTACTCTTCTTTTGTCTGGTTTGAAGAATGTCTAAATCTCTGAACCAACTTTAATTGAAACACGACTAAAGTTTATTGAAAATAAAAAAAAAGCCGAAGTCGTTGATCAAAAAAACTTTAAAATATTGGAACCAAGACAGAAAAAAATATATACTTAGGAGAAATAGAAAGAGGTGAAAAGAAAGAAAGAAAGGTGTGAAGTTTGTAAAGAGTGATCCCCTAATTTCTTTGATATTCGTATGAAGTTCCTTCCAATCAAACTTAACGCTTTACGCTACAGCTAAAATTTTTCGCTTTTTTAGAGGCTTTTAACTTAGTACTCGCACTAGATTCAAGGCACTGTATCACAAGAAAGTAACGGTCACTTTAAAAGTTATCATTAGTGACACACAGAGACGCAATTTCTCACGTGTACGACAGTTACTCACCAGATGTCGACACTTGGAGGGAGCACTGCACTTCCATTATCAATCATTTTCGACAATGTTATACATCCTTTTAACACACAGGCCACTTTGGTAAGAACGGTTTTACGCTCACAGTTTAATGTCACCAAGAACACAGTCCGTGATGTAAGTACATGGCGACACATACTGACACACGCGTAAATTAATGTTTTGTTTTCTTTCCATTCATCTACTTTATTTGTCTGTTCGTTCACATTCTAATCTCGTTTCCTTTTTTTCTTTTGTTTCTTTCATTTTTCCCTCAATCAATAAAAGCCTTCCATTGAATGTGTTGCATTTCATTCATATTTTCTTTTGTGTCGGTTTTGTCGATTAATATTTGTTTTGTTCAATTATTTTGTTTGGTCATTGGTCGTGATAAGCTCAGCTTTAAGTGCTTTTATTTTGAGAATCAAATTTATGTCACATTCATACAAGACGAAGGTTCCTCGAATGCGACTCACAAAACTGCAATAAAAACGTCGGTACCATTGGCTGAGTAACAACTCCGCCACGAGAATTTTAGGAGCGACTGAGGTTTGGACTTTCGGTCCATTCCGGCTTTCAGGAAAGTCGGAAGTCTCAGTCGCAACGTGCAATTAAGGTTCGTTAGTATTTTATGTTAGAAAAAGGACTGGAAATGGATTTTCATGTTTCATGTCGCTTTTTTAAGATGTGTATCATATATCAAAAAACCAATTTGATAACTTTTCAAGCAAGTTTTAAAGATAGAACAGCTTTCCAATTATTTTTCCTTCCTCTTTACATCGTTTTCAGCATAAAAAGGATGACTATCTCTAATAATATTCTTTCGGTGGTCGTATCAATTTTGAAAGCAAAAACAGGAAAATTTGCAGTCAAGTTTTTCTTTCGCTTAAACAGCCACTGGGGTCTTATCCGATCAAAATCGTCCGAAGAGCCAAACACATGGATTTCCAGAGACTTGTAGACTCGGGGACGGAATTGCAGGTTCAAAACGACCTTTAAACGTCGCTGTCAGAGAGGAGAAGCCACATATATTCACGAATGACGGTGTAGCCAGACTCCTTTACGTTTCAAAAGATTTACGTGAAACATTCTTTTTGTTCACAGTTAAAAGATACCATAATCGGGCAGATGTCCCATGTTAAAGTTACCAGCCTTGAACAAGTCACACAGATGGCAGCAGTGGTTGCCCTGGCAACGGAGCAAAAAGACGAAATCTCAACTCAGTCGCAGGTTAGGCTCTTGCCTATTAGGCAAAACGTTGCAGTAGTGAAATACATATGCACTTTCTTTGATTCATTTGCCAAAGAATTTCTTGTCAAGTGATCCGTGTCCTATGGGTTCTCCTGAGTACACCGTAACTTACTCTTTATTGTCTAGTTTTTTCATGTGAGTAAATACTTTTTTCCTGAACGCTTCTAATTTTTCCTGGACAGGAGAACGCCGTAAACCTATTAGAGAACACGGCCGACTTCGTTTCCTCTCAGCTAAGTTCTGGTACTGCGGATCCTGAGGCCCTTCAAAACGTCGGCTTTAGTCTTCTATATGGCATATCCAACGTCATGAGTGCTGCATCCACGCGTGCTAAACAAGAGGAGGTAGATGAAAACGAAGGTGACGAAAGTGTGGTGACTGAAGAGTCTATCAAAGAAACAAACAAGGAGAAGAAGAAAGATAACAAAGAAAAGGTACTATGTTTTATTTACTTCATGACGCTCACGGCGGTTAAGTAGGAAGCACGTGAAAAGGTAATGAAGGCAATGCCTTGCCTCCATAATAACAATTTAAAAATATCCACCAAAGTGGAGGTGAACAGTGTTGGATATTTACCGAGCTACGATGCAGCGTTGTAAATATCCACCACTTTCACGTACACTGAGGTGCATAACTGTTTTAGTATACATTACACAGATGGAAAAAATAAGTTTATTTCTTTCAAAAACTGGTCGAAATGAAATTGTTGACGAGCGATTGTGTTTTGCCTTCTCGGAGGTGAGTAATATTTGCTATTTACATCCGAACAAACCAATTAGCGTGCGCGAAAAGCACTATTCAACTGTGTGATATATACTATTAAATATGTCGTGTGCTGGTTAAGTTTCTGGTTAGTACTCGTAGTTTTGGTCAGAGAACTTTTTGTTTTGTAAGTTTTCATCTCAGTGGGGTCTAGGTATTCGAGATTTCAATTTAGAACTGCAAAACCGCTCTGTGCGAGCACCACAGATAACATGCTTCAAGCTATTTTAGAAATATTGTTCCATTGTAATTTTAAATTGAGATCTGATTTGTTATTTGTTTATCACTTTCTAGAGCAAGAAAACGGCGGAAAAAACTCTCGAATTGATGGATAAAGTCGGCTCAAGCCTGTTGGGCACTAAAACAGTTGGGGAGAAACCAAGCGTATTTAAAAGCAAGTCCTTAAAAATGATGCTGGATAGGCAGGTACCGTCAAAAATTGGCGGCAAAAAACTCGACGACGGAGAAGGGGAGAGTGGTGTGGCATTGCCTTCGGCTGCCACCTTGTTTGGAGACAGTGCTGAAAGTCTTCCTTCTGTCGACTCGCAGGTAATTGTTAGATTAGAGAAGACACATCCAGTCATGCCGATGAATCTTATCAGATTCACGAATTTTCAGTCGGAATCTATTTTTTCCTCAAGTAACGCGCTAAATATTGTAACATAAAAGGCATACTGATTTCTATTGGCTAATATTTGAAACCTGCTTCAGTCAGAATGCAATTTTAAGAATAAATAATATGTCTACAGACGTTAGCTGTGCAATTACGAGATCCTATGGTTAAGTTTTTAGTTTCTAACGGTGAAAATTGAATTTTTCCCAGATGCTTTCCTTTACGGACAATCCTTATACTTGGGATGCAAGCTCTAACAACATCAAGTCTTCGGTGATTGATTTCTCTTTGAAGGCTGCTGACGGAAGTGCATTAGAAGTGTCTGGTCTACCGGAACCGGTAGAACTTTTCATACCTCAGAAAAAGGACAATGAAAACAAAGGCAATGAAACAGCGACAGTATATTTTGCCAAACCAAGCGATGGCTCCAACAACTTACGCTTTCATCAAGTGGTGGTTCCATTAGAAAGTTCTTCCATGATCGTCGAAGTGAAACCGGAAGATGGAGTCTCCCTGGAGATCTACGTCAGGCCCAAAAACAAACCAACAGTAACGGAGTACAGTTTTAGTGTGATTCTCCCCAAAATCGAGTTCTGCAACTCGACGGACACCACCTTAAACTGTAGCTCAGAAGCGTACAAGTTCAGCATAAGCAGTGCACTGACTGATCACGTAGGATTACATTATGTGGGGATCAGATATCCAAGACCAGAAAGCGACCCTACATCGTCCTCAAAGGTTGAAGTTGAAATGGTAGCGGAGCGTGTCAGAAGAGGATGTGAGAGTCACGGCGGTAGGCAGAAACGGTCTTGCATTGGTGTTAAGACTCCCCCAACCACCCCTCCCCCAAAACTTCAGATACTGGTACCAAAGTATAATGCAAGTACAGACGTGAATTATACGATGTCTGTGACGGCTACCTCATGTTTGTACTGGTCTGAAACAAAGCAGACTTGGACAGGTGATGGCTGTAAGGTGAGATTGATCTTAGCCATATGAAAAAAATGCAAGACAAACTGAAGTTGAAGTGTTAGCTGCGACCATAGCTCTCCAGTAAGACTGTTTACTTCATCTGTAAATTCTGTGTGCTGGATAGGCAAGAACAAACCGAGTAATTGGAGCTCGCTTTTTATTCGAAAAAATAAGTCTAAGTTTCTTTTTTAAATTTAAATTATTTTCCTATAAATTCTGTGCTTCATTTCTAACAAGCAAACCAAATCATGAAAAAATAAAAAAGAAAAAAAAACAGTAAAAAGACCAAAAAATCTAACCCTTATTTCTTTCGTTTTGTGTTTGTTTTGTTATGTAGGTGGGACCTAAGACGGTCGCCAGAAATCTTCACTGTCTCTGTACCCATCTATCTGCTTTTGGTGGAGACTTCTTCGTTGCACCGAATCCTATCGATTTCGACAAAGTCTGGGCCGAATTTGGCAATTTGGCGGAAAGTGGAAACTTTGTAGTACTGGCTACAGTTTGTTCCCTATTTGGACTTTACTTCGTTGGACTTGTGTTCGCTAGAAAATCGGATAAAAAAGACGAATTGAAGGTGAGTTTCTCTAAATGCAAAGACTCCCTTAAACGGTTAAACTCCTATAGTCCTATTCCCTTTATGAGGGTATCACAGTGGTTCATTTCAAAACGGAATGTTAAAGTTTAACTCTCTTTTCAGGTCGTGGCTAATGTGTATTTGACTGATAATACTGACGATGGGTACCTCTATGAAATCTCCGTTCAGACCGGAATGTGGAAAGGCTACGGGACTACTGCAAACATTGGCTTGATTATCTATGGAGAGCTTGACACCACTCCCCCCTTACCATTGTCGGACCCGGGAATGGATAAAATTTTCTTCGCCCGGGGGAGCATCAACAACTTCACGCTGTCTGTGCCAGAATCGCTTGGCAATTTGGTGAAGATTAAGATTTGGCATGACAATAGCGGCAGGAGTCCTGCTTGGTTCTTCCAACAGGTGCAGATCGTCGATACACAAACCGGCGAAAAATGGAATTTTCTTGGTAATCGCTGGTTGGCTGTAGAAAAAGGAAGCGGCCAGATAGAACTAGAAGTTAAAGCTGCTGACAAAAAAGAACTTGCTGGATTTAGAAATTTATTCTATTCGAGGACTGCACGGAGCCTGGGTGACGGTCATTTGTGGTTGTCGGTTTTTACCAGGCCTCCACATAACACGTTCACTCGTTGCCAGCGTCTTACGTGTTGCTTGTCGATTTTATTCGCCACTCTTGTAACAAACGCTATGTTTTATCAATTTGATAAAGCACCAGGAGACACTTTTCAAGTTGGGCCACTGAAATTAAGTTGGATACAGATCAAGATCGGAATTCAAAGCAGTATCATCGCCATTCCAGTAAACGTATTAGTTGTTACGATCTTTAAAAACATTAAACATCCGCCTCCTGTGGATGCTCGAGGATCCAATAAGAAAGTGCCCGGCTGCCTTCCTCATTTTTTTGTGTATGTAGGTTGGACTCTGTGCCTGCTCACCTCCTTAGCAGCAGGTGCTTTCACCGTATTTTACAGCTTGATGTGGGGTGCGGAAACATCTAACAAATGGCTCACATCAATAATGATTTCATTCTTTCAAGATGTTATAGTCACGCAGCCAATCAAAGTTGTCTTGATTGCATCTTTACTATCGTTGATTATTAAAAAGCCTCCGGAGCAGGAAGAAGTAATTGGCTCATCTATGTCAAGAAGCAGTGGAAAAGACAGCCAGGTATCCGCACCTCACGGTGAAGCGCTCAGAAAAGCGCGTGAATTCCAGAGCAAAGTGTTGGAAATGTTCAGGACGATCATCGAAATGGTGTTTTTCTTTTTATTCATTGCTCTCCTGATGGTGGTGTGCTATGGCAATAGAAAACCTACCAGGTTCATGTTGACTACAGAGTTGGAAAAACGTTTTAGTGGCTTTGATAAGGTTAGAGTTCGAAATCAGTTACAACACTTAACAAACAAGAAAATAAATAATGGTAAACATATGAGCTACTTTCCCTTTCACCAAAACAAACCTCTAACTTTACTTTTATATGGAATTCTTGCAAGAGTAGGAGACCAAGAGCTTCCAATGAGACTGTAGCGGCTCCTTGAGTGCTTCCATACCTTTCACGGGGTTGAAAATTATCCGTTGAAAATAAACAGCCAATCTTTCACTCCATTGAAGATATGAACAATTACAAAAGAAATGAAAAGACGAAGAAGAGAGCATCTGGGTGAACATGGGTTTCTTTCGGGGGCTTTCGGAAGCTTGCTTTACCATTTTCCTTCTAGTGACGTGATCAAGTCATCTATGAGTAATTTTACGCATTTTCCGTTGATAACCCCTTAGGTGCATAACCCAGACACCTTCTGGACATGGACAAGAGCGATACTGGTCCCAGGACTGTACAATGTGGCGTGGTACAATGGAAAACCCTTTGAGTATGAGGAGGGCTTCATCAGCAGCAGAGAAGCCTTTATGGTGGGGATGCCGCGACTGAGACAGGCTCGCATAAAGCCAGGTGAGAATTATTTACCGTGGGCTACAAGTCAGGCTACAGTACATTTTTTCATCTCACCCTAACCTACTATACTCAACCCCCCTCGTTACCGATCTTCCAACATAGTCCATTACTCTTGTCCTTCTCTTAGAGGCTTCGCTAACTCTCTCTCTGTCTACATCTGGTATATTAGTTATCTAAGACAAGCTACCTTGACAGCGACGATTGAGGTCATCATTCAAAGGGGTCATTGATTTATTTGGTGATTCAATGCTGTTCTGGTTTCCTTTTGTCGCGTTTTGTTCATGTTGTTAAAACTTCGTGCAATTGAATTGTGCTACCCAAGTAATTCGCTCCGCTAGTTTTTGTGTCAATGTGCATCTCTCTATATTTGAACTTGTATCACCATTAGTCTTCATATCCTCAAATTTTATACAGATGTAAGATGTGCAGTGGAGCTAAACCAACCAGAATTGGCGCATCGGTTCGGTCGTTGCCTGTCTGCGTACGTCGACAAGGTTGCAGACTCTACCTTTTTTAATCAGCCGGGTTGGTTTCCGGTTGAGAACACCAGTGTAGCTCTCTCCATGTTTGAGTTGTACGACATGTGCCCCAGGCCCTGGCGTTATCGTACGGCAGAGAATTTAACCACTCTCTCTGTGCAGGGTCTTCAATCCTCTTATGGAGGTGGTGGTTTCGTCGCCGACCTCGGTTATAATGCCAAGTCTGCTCTCGAGGTGTTGGATGGCTTGCAGAAAAATAATTGGATTAACGAATTAACAGCAGCAGTCTTCGTTGAATTTACAATTCATGAACCAGCGACTGCTTTATTTAGCGTTGTGAAATACTTGTTTGAGCGTTTGCCAACGGGTGGTTACAATACCGAGACAAGCATCAAAACGTTGACGCTGTACGCTTCACCTGATTCTGCTTTTGGGTCTTTTTATCAGCTCTGTCAGCTGCTTCTGATGTTGATCATTCTGTTTTTCTTCTTCGCTGAAATCGGTAAAATTTATCGCCAAAAATGCGGCTATTTTAAGCTGTTCTGGAACTGGATGGAACTACTTCAGATCTTTGGTGCCGTCGCTGCTATTGTTATGTTCTTCTTTAAAGAAATGTACACCAGTAGATATGTCAAACGCGTGCAAAATAATCCTTTTGAGACTTCGAGTACTGATTACATCGTACTATGGTCAGAACTTGAAATTTACTTGTTGGCTTTTGTTATTTTTATCGTGACAATGAAGTTTTTAAGACTTATTCGTTTCAATCGTCATATCTGCCAAATGATTGCCACGATACAGAGATCTGTTAGTCATTTGTTTTCGTTTTTTGTTGTGTTCGTTGCAATCATTCTCGCCTACACACAACTCGGATTGCTTGTTTTTGGAAGCAACGTTCCCGCCTACTCCTCTTTCTTTCAAGCTATGCGTGCTGTCTGCCAGATGATCCTTGGGGGCGAGTCTCACTTTCATGAGCTTAAAGCGACCAGTAGGTTTGTTGGACCCCTTTTTGTGTTTTGTTACATGCTGAGCATGTCCATGATCATGTTGAACATGTTCCTTGCCATACTCAACGACTCTTACGAAGAAGTCAAAGATGTAGAAGGAGACAGTTTTGCTGACGCAGAGCTCGGTGAGTTTATGAAAACTTATTTCGAAACACGGGTCGGTCACTTTTGTGATGAGTTAACTGCTTACTTCAAGAAGATGATGAGCTTTGCGCAAGCAAAGAGAAGACCTAAGATTCAAGATGTTGAGAGTTATGTTAAAGTTCCAACTGATTCAATCGACGGACTCGACAAAGTTGATGGCATTGAAGTGGGCGATGAGATTGTTAAATTAGCTAAAATCGTTTCAATGGAAGATCTAAGTGACAGTGAAGATGACATCTCCGAGGCCCTGAAAGATGTAAAGCATAATTTATCTGATATCAATGAAGAAATAAGACGTTCGATTTCCCTACTTGGATCCGATACAAACCTTAAGACTCTCAACAAAGATCTCAAATGCTCGTGCGAGGACAACAGTTATCCATACTTCGGCAACATCTGGGAACGCCAGTACGATCCTAATGATCGTTTCCGTAGAAGGAAAACTCCATACACGGAGCCTTTGTTAGCCGAGATTTCAATGGATCACCTCGAGGACCCACATCTAAAGGGTGACGATGGATATAATAACAATGATAGAAACGGGTATCCATACTTCACGAACATCTGGGATAGACTTATAGATCCAAACGATCGCTTCCGTAGGAGAAGAAGGCTGAGAACTCCTCAGCGAGAGTCTCTGTTCGACGATCATTTACAGGAACAGACAGAGGAAGTTGATCTTGGAGTTGGTGAGGAAGGCGACAGGTTTGACTCAGTGAGGCTTGAGGAGCATTCGACGCCTGAGGTAATGTCGAACAGCACAACGAATAGTAATCTGTTAGATGATATCCAAGAAAGTTTTGTGTGAAGGCCATGATCTCGGCATATACTTTAGGCTAAGGCGTTGACAGGCTAAGGTAGTGCTGAAAAAAACCAAAACTGTACCAGAAAGAGAGTATGTGCAAATGTGCAATAATCTTACTTTAGGTTAGTGGTCTTAGGACATTTCTCCAAAATGGCGGCCAGAAATTAAAGTAATTGAACATCTGTGATAAAAAAACACAGTGGTTTGATAAAATTTCATCGAGTCAGCCAATATTTTAGCAGAGAAAAGTGATTTGAATTTAATATGTAGGTAAATATATGCAGACAAAAGTTAGTTAACGTGTAAATAAATGAGAACAAACTCACTGGAGAACTGGTGGTAAAATTGATCTCTTTAGGAGGAAGAACGACTCGTGAATGAAAACTTAAGACAACATGTTTTAGGTTTTTAGTGGTTTTTGATTGAGCGTAGAAAAACAAAATCTCAGCGATCTCAACGACCAATTGACACAAAAGGAGAAATCACAGGGAGCTATTCTAATGGCAAACGAGAGTCAACAAGTGTCTTGATTGGCTTGAATTTTTCTTTTGATTGGTCCGTAGGTAAGGGTGACTTTTTTAAACCAATCACAGTAGGTGGTGAAGCAAACCCAATGCATTCAAGGGTTGCTTTCTACACTCAATTGAAAATTGCTTTACGCAATCTTAGTGTATACCGTAGATCGTGTCGACATATCTTTGGTGAACTAATGTTCTGTTTCAGCCTAAAAAAGACTGAGGACTCAAAATGTATCTTGTAAAACTCATATACCCTCACTGGATCTCCTTCCTCAGCAGCTAAGTTTGAAATGAAATAGCATCTCCTAAGTAACAATCTGTAACTATAATACAACCTACTCTAGGAAATAGGTGTATTAACTGTACATAAGAAAAAAAACAGCATATAAAAACCTCTTAAGAGAACCTATCGCTAGACTCTAGTGAATTTTCATGGAATAGATTGATTTCTGGTTGATCGCTCGATATTTTGAAAACTACATATAATTCGTTTTTATAAAATCTTTTTGTTGTCCTTTGGGACCACTGAGAAAAGTTTACTTTTGTACTGTAAAAACGTTCTTGAAAAGATAATTTTCAACTTACCATTCGTTGCATATTCAATGAAGAGTACGGGGGATAGAATATTGGGTTATGCTTTCATGATCAACAAGACTCAAATAAATTGAGAATTTTTTTGCATCCATGCGTTCTTTTGTTTTTCAAATTGCCATGATACGCGAGGGCAATTTCAAGGAAACGAACGGATATGACATTTTTTTGTTTAGGGGATGGCCTAAGGTGAATGAATCACGTTTTCCTAAGGGCCCAGTTGTTCGAGGGCTGGATCCGGATTTCTTTATTCCTCTGTTCAAAAGCCTTTTCGCGATAATTTCTCTATTCTTTTTAGAACATCCAATAATCTGGACAAAAGAATTATACTGAATTTTCTTTCAAAGCTTTCAGATCTTAGATCAGCTTTCACACTAACCCTGGCCATGGGTTATCTTAACCCAGGGGTGTTGAATAACCCGGTTCTGGTGAGATAGCAACTGTGGTGCTTTAAAACAGTAAAAAAAAACATGCTTTTCCCCGTTGTTCTGACGCAGGCATGCGCGGATAAATCCAGGCAGCGAGTCAGGGGAATTTCTATTCTCTAAAGAGTCTGGAATAGAACTGAAAACACTTCATCTGACATTACAGAAGCGAAGTGACGGTTATTTAGCTCTGACCAGCCGGGAGAGAATCATGAAGTCCAATTTGAAAGTGACTGAGAGAGAGTCTCAATGGGGTTAACCGCAAGCCGGGCGTAAAAAGGCCGGCCGTTAGGAGCATCTTGAAAGCATTTGGAAAGTTTCAAAACCTCAGACTGTTATGTGTTTTACCTTGGTGCTTATGCGAACGGTAAGAAATCTAAGTTATGAATTCGATGCTAAAATAGGCTAGACGTGCGTATACATTTCCTGGCTTTCTAAGGTCTTACTTATTTGAAGGGCAGATAATTTTTTTTTCATTGAATACACCTATCCAGTGGATATTCTATATTTATCCCCTCAATAGATATTAGTTCTTTAAAGCTGAATGGCTCCTTATATATACAGTGTTCAACACCGATTTCTGTCGATCTCTGGTTCGCTTAGCTTACAAAGTTCAAATAAAACACGGAAGCATTTGCGTTTACTTCTTTTTATTCGAATTTGGGAAACAACAATAGCATAACGTTATTCATAATCTATGAAACTAAAAAAAAAAACTGCAGCGAAAAGTCGATCAGACCTTGCACTGTAACAGGGTAATTTGGTATTATCAACTGAGTTGATAACGTAAATTGGCCACCGTTAAGAGTTTCAAAACTGGCGTTTCGAGCGACAGCATTTCGTCACGCCTTACACTGAATTGGTTTATATTTTTAATGAAGTATTAAGCTTGTATCTTGAGGTTATTTCCCATTGCAAGTTCGCCCCCACTTGCACCTTTCATCGTTTCCTTACGTCAGAGCAAATCCTTTTGTCGGTATAACATTCAATTTTCTTTTTCAAAGTCAAACGCTTAAGCAGGTGATTCGTTGTTCCTCGCTAAAAAAACATCTGTTGGCTCCCAAAGGACTCCTTTTGTTCAGTTTGTTCTTTAAAGTAACTCTTGAAATTTGCTGTGCCTCGCCTCAGTTCTTTTGATGTCATTATGTGTAACCGTCGTTTCTTCTTTACGATTCATAGCGAGCACTCCGGCATTGTGTCCGCTTGGTTTGAAAATCGTCAGTAGGACTGATTAGAGAATTATGCCTCTGTCGTTCTATGTTCTTTTGCACGATTCCGGAACATGATGTGCAACCGACTCAGTCTTCGCTTTCTTTTCTGGTGCAAACTTTTGTTCTTCCTAAGGCAGAATTGAAATAATTTTTGAATTCTCATATCGAAGGGAAAAAAAACTAAGACATACATGTAAAAAGGGGGCAAGTTTCTTAAGAAACTGTGGTGCTGCGTTGGTGGGAGAGTATAGCAGGTAGTTTAGTGTTAACAACTAAGTTGAAAACGTAAATTGGCTGGTAAAAAAGCTGACGTTTCGAGCGTTAGCCCTTTCGTCGGAGTGATTGACGAAGGGCTAACGCTCGAAACGTCAGCTTTTTTACCCTTTTAGGTGCCCAATTAACGTTTTCAACTCAGTTGTTGACACTAAATTACCTGTTAAGACAAATATGATCGATTATCATAGCCATTGGTGCTGCAAGCAACCGAGTATTAAGTATTTTTTGCACAACATGAAATATTCGTTTCGAAGACCGTAAAATTCCCCTTGAGAGTTTTTTTTCAGTTTTCGTACCTTCAAGAGCGACTTCGCACTCAGCCTCATCTTCGGGCCTTACTTTCGGTAATGGGCCAATGTACAATGTACTTGTTTTTCAGGGCGTGAAGTGCGATTCATGTCACTGAGGCGCGAATTAAAGAATTTTATTTCAATATTCCTTTAGGGTATTAATAACTCATATTTCCCAAGGTTATAACATAGAGTATTGGTTCTGCTCTTGCACGTCACAATCAAAGTCGCCAACAGCTTTCAAGTTAGTTGCGATCTTAAAGAACAAAGGAGAAGGTGGCTGTGAAGAGTAAAACGTTTCTTGCAGCAACATCTTCTCATTTTTAAGAGGGCTACCGTAATGAGAGCTACCGACAATTGCTGTGTTCTTTTTTTTCCTTTTTTTTTTTTTTATAAAAAAAAAACTGTGATAACGCTAGCTCGTTCAATCCCCGCCGTCGATAAAGCTCATTCCCTTGTAAGTGTGTTTAGTGTATTGAAAGGTCTACTCCAAAAAAGTGTCAAACTGGTAAAATCTCACTCTGACAGGAGCTTGCGATTTATTGCGCTGGCCGGTAACAAAGTTTCGTGGATTTGGGCCGAGATTGGTGTGGAATCGTGCTTTAATAGCAAGCGCACCCACCAGACCACAATTATCATGAAAAGAGACATTTCAACAATCTTTATCACACCAACTTTAGCCTTCGAGGCATGCACCTGTCATACTTGAAAGCTAATCGAACAACACATCCGATAAACTTTAGTTGAGACTGGTAATGTGAAGGCTATTAAAGCCTGACCGAAATTGATTTCCGAGCCAAATTGTCTCGCGACATCTATTTCACACTTACGGAAAATTTCATCGACGGGAGAGCCTTATTGTCTTCTTAGAAAACGCGAAAGATACATCACAGCTTTCGTTGTCTAAGAGGGATTTCTGCAGTGAATAAGAATAGTCGGCACGGCTTTTTTCTATATTTTCTTGGATTATTTATCTTCTTCTCAACCTCCACTTTTAAAAACAAGTTGTGTTTTAGTAATAATTGATGACATTTGAACTTTGAAATTAAAAAAAAAAACACCGTAGAAAGCTTGTCCAAAGTAATTACTGGATGGCCACGTTTGATTTCTAGAACTTATGGCATGATTTTGAAGATGCCCATTCCTCACATTTCTAACAACTGATATCTTTCTGCTCTCCGGTCTTGAGATTTATGCATCCAATTTATATTCCAGTTAAAAATAATATATGAGTGGGTGTTTAAGCGGCTGGGTGACGAATTCCAAAAACTGAGAGCGGATTATCTTTAATCCCTTCGAATTACTTGTGGGTACTTTGCGATTGGAATGAGAGTGTTTGCAGTGCTTGTTGTGGCGGCAGGCATTACCGGAACTAATTATAAATTACTCAGGGAAAAATTCTTTATCTTTCAACACTTTAAATGGGATTGCTTAAGTGAGATGGGCAGGATATTGATATTTTTACATTTGTAATACGTTTTTGACAGTATTTGATATGGAAAGAAAGATATTATATTTGTTTTTATTTATCCAAGTACAAAATGGACTTGTAATTGAAATCAGAAACCTGAAGCAGTTGAATTCAGTTTTTCTCTTATCAACCCTTTATTCAGTTTTTTAACCTTAGGGCGCGTCTATCGAGTATGAAATGTGACAATTTTTAAAATTTTTCAAAGTATCTCATAATTGATGGCTTCAATTTGAGAACCCAAGGGTTTACTTGGATTTGCTATACGTGGATCGTGGTCACATGAAAATAAAGTTTTTATTTTTCTCCTTTGTATCTTTTTTTAACTGTCAGCCTACGAAGATAATCTACCTTTCAACGCATTGAGTTCCTACTGAAGCGCTCGCAAACTTCAGATATGTACATGTATGTAGATTGGAAATGTCCAGCAGGTGAAACCTGTAAGCCTATCATTCTGTAATCCTCTCATAGACGAGATATAACACAAGTTTCCGAAATGAAAAAAATAAAAATTTGGTTATGAATTGACGAGAGTGTCGCGGGCTTAGTTGAGTCCACAACGTTGCCTCAGAGGTGATTACTTCACTGGCAAATGAAAGAGAACAGTTCGTAAGAAGGGTCTCTGAGGTAAAGGAAAGGCGGTACAATTGATTTTAACATTGCATCTGTTTAGTTTCTTCGATGTGGTTTACAGAAAGAGGAAATGTTTAATTTTCGATCTTTGGAAGAGGACAGGTTGGCGAATTTTCACGAGTATCAGCGTATTTTGTTAAAAAATATCGACCTAGTCTTGCTTAATTAAGACAACCGTTCATAAGTCTGATAACATAAGTATATCGGTTCCTTTCATTATTGCCTCTAATCGAAAATATTTGTAGTTTAAATACTATGGCTTCGAATGTGTCCAGCTTTACGTGCACCAAGTGAGATAAATCATTGAACATTTCCAATCTAGAAGCTCATATTTCATGCTGTGAATGAGTGAAACGTTAATTGGTCTCCTACTGTGGGCTTTTGACATTCGCATTGGATCTTGAAGAATTTAAATTATAATTCTGATTCAGGAAAAATGTTCTTAATTTTAAGAATTAGCCATGTTGAGTGCATGAAATTACTCCAAATATTACCTCTTCTTTAACTCGTACATGGAAATCTAAGAAAACACCGCTATCAAGTAAGTACTTGTACTTCGTTCAGTGTTCAGTTTTACCGACAATAGCTTCTGTTTTTTTAAAAAACATAAAAATTTGTCCCATTGACCACATATTGGCAATAACGCAGAGTAAATTTTATTCCATCCTCTTGTTCATATATTTTTATGGCGTGGTTGTGTTAAATTAATGGACTCATTTGGTTCTGAAACCAAAATTGACGCCCTGCTTTCTTTAAAAAGATCTGTTAAGAGAAGGTGTCCGTAGTTTTGAGGCGCAAAGAAACATTTTAATTCTTAATTTTGGTTTACTTAGGATTGTGTCGAGAAAAAGGTTGCTGCTTGAATTACATGGGATTTTAATTTGCGTTTGGTTTGTTCTTAAAATAGTTAAAAAATGCCTTTCTACGAGTATTAAACTTAAGCTGGTTTTAAGAACGATAAATCATTTTCCAGTTAGTGTTCGAAGAATACTCATCACAAGTTATTCACGCACTTGTTCAAGTTGATATATCTTAAGAGATTTTTAACCACTCAGATAAGTGTGTGAGATTCCATTTTCTACCTAATGGAAATATGTATTCCATCGTTCGGGCATCCTACGATATTTAAAACCGTATATTGAAGGAGTAAATATTATGCATAGCACCTGCTGTGTAAATTTTCAAAGCTTAAATAATTTTAAATGAATATTGGGAGAAATTTCGAGATATATGTAAGACTCCAAACTGTGACAATTTCCAAGTAGTAACATCGGACCATTACCTGCGTTCCTCATTCATTCGTTCCTTTAGTGAATGCCCATTGGGTTTTTTTGTAAGGCTATTCTAAGAGGCCATTCTACTCACTATATAGATTACTGTGTAGCCTTTTTATGCACAGATTCTCGGAAGCAATAAATATAATAAAACCTGCCTCAAAACTTTTGTGTAACCGAAAAAGGGGTCATTATAGCCATTTCCCTTAAAATTATGCGTGCTTTGTTCAGAAACGCTATGATTTCAAATGTGAATCAAATGTTCCTTGCACAAATTCATTTATAATTGGAAGATGAAAAAAATCCCAATGTGTCTCAAAAGCAACAAAGACACGTCGGGCCATAATTAGACTTGAATAGCCACATGATTAAGGCAATGGCTGTTTCTGAGGACAATTTAGCTTCCCTATTTGTCATATGTATTGTTATACAAACTTAGAAGAGAAGCTCTTTTGTGTTTGACTTATATTTCTAGGTGACTCCGGCCATATCGTTTATTGATAAGTTACGTAATGCGTCCGTCCTTCTCAGTGTGAAATTTCTAAATCCATGCAGAACGGGGTTCGGATATGAATGTTTAAATACCTCCCCCTAAATTTGCGGCAAGAATTTGAAATGATGTTAGTTACGCTGTTGATAATCGTTGGCTTGAAAACTTTCTTATTGACTCGGATTACAACTTCATGGCGACTTAAAACCACCTCTTACAACGGATCACGGATACTTGAAACGTAGAGCCAATTATAACACGAAAAACAGACCAATCGGTTTTCCATACAGACCAGTTACATTCAACTGCAGGTGAGTTTTTCACCTGACTTTCGGGTAAGTTATTGAAATGTACGTCAGTCACTGAAACGGAAGATAGACTTTTTTAGGCTTGCTGTTTTCTCCGATGGTTAGACAATCTCACTACAAGAACGATTGTTACCCCGCCTTCAAAACATTTTCCATGAACCAAATCATTCAAAACAGTTGTCATTAATAGTCATTATTGCATATTGATTCGTTTCTAAAGAGGCAGACATATCTGGCACTGTAGCTAATACTCGGCAATCAGTTATTTTCAGACACTTTCAGACATTTTCACAGACTGAATTTCCTCTGAAGTGTTCTCTCTAACTCTAGTGAAAGTGTCAGATGTAGATTTAGAAATTTTAAGCGATTAATTGCAAAAGCTAGTTTTCTAGCAGTACGAAATATCCGACCTTGAGCATATCATAAAATAACTATGTTTCAACACTCGAAAATTTTGCCCTGAGTCAATTAAACAGATATTGACTGATTTCCCACAAGAAGCCACATCGAGACCTAATGAGAATATTCGATGTTTGTTTAAAAATACAAAGCGATTTATAAATGAAGATGTTTTGACCAACTTTGGCATGATGGAAACTCATACCTCTCGTTTTTTTTTGTAAAGGTAACAAACATTTCATCTTTTCAAAGCTTTTGGTTTAGTTTTGGTCCTTCTCTGAGTGAACAATAGGATTCCTAATTAATAATTGATTGTTTTCTAATCCAAAAATGTCAAAACAAGCAGGTAATATATGGGCTTGATAGATTTAACGAGTCGTCAGACTACCTTGAAAAATTAATAAAGATATGAGAAAGTTTATCGCACCTATAAATTCTTAGCAGCTCGTTATTATGAATGACGAGTTAGACATTGGCCATTCAATTAAAAGCTAGTTGCTCGTTATGATGAGAATAAAGAAATAATAATATGTTTTTCTTGCTGCTGAACAGTGATCGTTAATTACAGACAGACATATTCAATTGTTTAGTGGTTGAAATGCCCATGACGCATTTTATGGTCTTTGAATTTGCTAATTGCGCGCGGACAGCCGGAGAAAACTTAATTTTTCAAGCTTCTCAATTACCTTTCTTTTTAGGATATTCAGTCTGTCTCTGACCACTCAATTCTAATTTTATTAGCACATTCGAAAGAAAGGATATTGAATTGAATGGTGTTTTCCAATAATTCATGGGCTAAAGCGAGATAATAGCTACTACTAATTAGGCTTTAATATGTTTGCTTCCGTGATGAAACATGAATCGAAGCGGCCTTAATTAGCGACTGGTTAAAATCGTCAATTACCGTAAGAAAAATGTTGCTGTTGCCGCTCATTACGGGACATTTTAAACTTAAAAACAACGCGGTAAGAAAGTTTGAATCTTTCGCCCCTTCATTGGTTAAAATGTGTTGAATTCTCTTTTTCTTCTTTTCACTTTTTACGAAAGGACAGAATTTTGCCTTTAACCTTTTGACAAGTCTCATGTTTACGATTTTCAGACGCTTTCTTCATTTCCAAAATACACATAAGGATTTATGTTTGAGTTTCAAGACAGCTATCTAGATTTCGTTTTTGTCAATAATTCGGGCTCAGCTTTTTGTTCGCAGGATCAGTCATGCTGGACGAGTGTCATCCTCAAAACAAGATATCGATGAAATAAGATTTATTTGACCTCGATCTTCAAGCCAAGAAACCCTACGAAAGGTAAGGACTTTTTTTAGTTTTGTATTTTTCACACACACACATAACATTCTAAAGATAAAGAGATATACTTTGCTTTTCCCACACTGACGAACCTCTGAAGAATTTATATATTCGTCGCTCGCATTTCGCGTTTGTAGGTAAAATGTGATTATAATTAATTCACGACTCAAATATATTAGGATACAGTTAGACTCCCACTCGAGCACCAACGATGCAATTTTTATTTTTTGCTCAAATCATAAAATTTTTCCTATTTTTCTCAGAAGGTTTATTTTTAGAGGGGTCACTTTGAAGGTGAAACAAACTACCGTGAGAAGTTGCAACTAGCTTCACATCAGTTTGTTATGTAAATAATAGGAAACTTAATTTTAACCAGAGATACGTCACTTCGGGGGATAAAAATCTCTCAACGTTATTGCCTATTGATAGTTTGAAATTCAGATCTTTTTAGCATTTATTTCTTCGGGCGACTTGACTTTTTTTTCGGGCGACATAACTAAAATTTCGGGCAACATGACTCAGGTTTCGGGCGACGTGACTTCGGGCGAGATGACTCTCGAGCGACTCGACTGTAAACCTTTAGGTTCTATTCAAATCATACCATGATCAAATTCTTACTTACCGAGTGAGGGCTGTACTGGGGAATATTGGCTAGTTGAATAAGGGCCAGTTTTCCCCAGTACGGCTCAAGGAAGCTAGGTCAGTGAGGAGTAGATTACATGGCACTCGGACAAAATATGTTCACTTTGAAATTACCGGTTTTTCGTGACCAAAAATTCACAGCTTATGGCCAAACACGGATCAAGTAAGAACTCGTCAGAACGCTCAGTTTTACTCAGGATTACCGTGCTCTATAATAATGTTGAATACGATTGCTACGTACATTAATTTGGTTTGACCTCAAGCATGGCCCCTGCACAAAAAAAATTTCACGATTCTTGGTTCGTTGACTGTTTATTGAACACTTGAAATGATGAACAAGCTTTGTTTTAAATCACAATAAAGAATGGAAATGACAGAGGCTGAATGAATCATTTTCTAAGAGAAAAACCGACCCCTAAGCTTTTCGTGAACATTTGAAAGAAAAGAAACGCTTTCTTTTAATCAGTAAGACTATCCATGGGTGCTGTTTAAATTTTTAAGTATTCCAGTAAAAGTTAAACACATTCGGAACAGTTGACTCAGTACCATTCATATAATTTCCAAACCTAATTATGGATGAACCGCAGATTTTTTTTTTTATTTTTATTGGCCCTTGGTCAGGTCTTAAACTTACAGAAACCTCTTATGTCAACCAGAATTCGCTAGTCCTCTGGGGTGATGCTTTTAGGAGGGGTGGTCCGTTCTCTAAAGCGAAAATGCCAACCATGGATAGGGGTAACTATCAGCGGAGAGATGGTGGTCATGATATGCCCGCTGCTTGCCTTCCAGATATTTTTATGTCATGCTTAATATAAGTTTCTCATTTCTCTCGGATGTGAGAGGTATATGCAAAATACATGAATCCACTCTTAGACTAAAATATAGGTTTGAAGCGACATAGAAAAGACCTGCTCGCAAGAATAAAATAAATTTTCGGCCAAAAACAGTTTTTTGAGAATTCTTGCAACGAACGATGGTAACCTTAGTGACTTGGTGGTTAAAAAATATTTACTTCTTTTTATTTCTACATGCGTAATATCAATGTTCAATAATTTAGAAAGGATTGAATTTACCAGCTTTCGAGATTCTTTTAGACAGTTTTTATGTCCGAAATCACGAATGCTTTGGCGGTTATTTTCTTAGCACCAGTTTTGTATTGTTGACTTTGTGTTAATTTATTGACGACATCATTCTTTTATCAGAACAGAAGTAACGCTCTCTTGCAGAAATGTTATTAATTATAATTGATTCTCATTCGTACTTAGACCCTCATAAACAAAGCTCTGGTGCTTGACCATCTTATCTTTACGTTGCGTTACGACTGGATTTCAGAGACATTTATACCGCCTACAAGACGGCTAATATCACAATCATCATTAAAATTTGCTTTTGATTTGTATAGGATTGCCATCCTCAGGATCTGGACGAATAGTTGAAACAGTAGAAGTTTTACGGTAAAACACATGTCGAAGAAATTGCCGGCTTGGATGCTGGTGGGACGGATTCTTGGGCTACTCTTTATAGCTACCCGTTCAGTTATTTCGAGGTGTCCAGGTAATGTTTGCTTTGTCCTGTGTATATATAGATACTTTTCCTGCTATTCATGTGTGTGTGTAGTAAAAAAAGCACTATCGTCTGTTATACTGGCGAATTCATCGTACATGTACCTAACTCATCCTTCCATAGCGTTGTTGAATTTCTAGATGAAGAAAAGGGGTTCCCTGACGCTTTTCATTGTTGATCTTGAAATTAGATTTTAGAGAAGAGCTCTTTTAAAAAATAACGAGATTCAAGTCCCCACAAAACACGTAATTATTATGTGTACTAGCCGCTTTATCATCAAGAAAGCTATTGAAATATGACTGTTTGTTCCATTTGAGTGGAGAGAAACCTGAAATTCAAATTCTTCATCGCAAATTTCTTATCGCTGATAGAGTTGAACTTGGACTCCTATATATTCAGTTTTAAAACGTCCTTACAAGGAATTAAAGGGAGTTGGTCCTTTTTATTTTTTTTTAATTCTATGTAAAAAGACAGATTTGTGAACCTGCATTTAACTGAACACTAGTCAAATATTCGCATTTTTGCTTTAAAACTGTTTAATAGCATTCGCAAACGTTTATCTTCCTGTTTTAAGATATAGCTTTCCAGAAGTACAGCTTTACCCTACTCCCATCACTTTTTTCGTACTCATAAAGATAAGCGTGTGTGTTTATTATAAGTTCCGGCAGCGTCACGACACCGTTTTACAAATTTAACTTTCTCTATTGAAGTTCGTTTAAAAAGGTTTTTGATGAATATGTAAGTGAACACAATTATGAATAAAATAATGCTTCAGGCGAAATTACCCGCTATATTTGTCAACAAAGGGGAAAACAACTCTAGAAGGGTTTAAGGGGGTGTTAATTGTACCTCTAAAAGCACCATATTTTAATAACAACATAACTGTATGATATTTTACCTTTGACTTCGTTTCTCAAGGAAATTTAACCATATATATTTCTTATTTTGCTTGTACAAAAGTTTTTCAGTCAAAACTGAGTTTTTTTCCCAAGTGAATTACGAAAATAACGTCGGTGGTAAACTGTCAATACTCCTAACGAAAACGTGACAGAAAGTAGATGAAGGCAAACAGTTTTCGTTCCGATTACAGTAACTCAGCAGGAATTAGAAAGAAATATTTAATATGGAGCGGTATTTTGATCATTTATGAAGAAAGAGAACAAGCCTTTGGTTTGAGTAGTTAATTTCAATTCATTTCCCAAGCCTCGCACATGGAAATGGAAAAAAAATCAGTCTCACAGGTGATCTCTAGGTTAAACTTTCAAAAATATCAATGTGTGTTTTCTAGATGCCATGAAGGTACTAGTATATTAATACATACACTAAGGAATTTAGTGTAATTCCTTTAAGGGAGATCTAATAGACTCCTAGTCAAGCTTTCTAGTTGATGCTTCCATAGAAATATGGAACAGATTGTTTGTAAGACTTTGAGGTTCCATTGCACAAGAGTGCCCTTGAACAATGCATATTTATATGAGCCAAAAAACTTGGTACGATGATTAGAAAAGTAAAACGAAGTTAAATGATTTTACAAATAAAGTGGTAACCATGCAGGTTGGTTGATAACTATATAAAATCGTAACACTGATAAAAAGTTCTCAAACTTTTCGAAAAATATTTTAAAATCTCAACGTTGCGGCTGAGAACTTTAGCTTTCATTAGGGTAATGAGATAAAGAAAAATTTACAAAAGCTACGAAGTATACAGAGACATGCAAATTTGCATAGTTATTATTCATTAATTGCTGTCCTCAGCGTTAAATTTAAATAGTCTTGGGGAACAGATCCTAAAATTGTTATCTTCCATGCTTTAAGATGGCGTCAGGCCGCCAATTTTCACTTGTGCGTAAGATCTTAAAAGATTTCCAATAACAAGAGTGACCAGATTGTAAATAATGTTCCGCCAAACCTTACTTTTGTGGTTAAAGATAAACGAGTTCAGCACAATGTCTACATCTAAGTCTTTAACTCTCCACATAGAGCCTTGTAATAAACCTCTGGGGATATCAGATGGTCGAATTCGAGATGATCAAATGTCTGCTTCGAGTGCCTACGACAACGCCTTTGAGACCTTTGGAGCACACCGAGCGAGACTAAACCTCACAACCTGGCCTGCAGGATACAGGGCCAATATCGACGCACTCGATGATTTTACTTGGATAAAGATCAAGCTGGACCAAGACATGGTGATAACAGGCATTGCCACTCAGGGCTACGGAAATGCATCTTTTAGCGAATGGGTCTCTAGCTACCTAATCTTTTTCGAGAAGGAAGGGGTTGAGGAAACAGCGTCTTGTACAAATACCGATGGCGAACCAACGGCGGTGAGACTATAAGTGGTTGTTATGATGTACCTTGAACGACTTAAAGCGCATGGATGAAATTTCCTATGCAATGAACCATAAAAAAATTGACAACTTGGCCTCAACCTGTATTTACAGGTGACGTAGTGCGGCATATACAATGATAATATGAAATAATTTCAAACCTGAAAGGCTATACAAAAAGTGCGATAAAATTGTGAAAGTTACCCATCACTTAATGATAAATAGTTATCGCTACATGGTTTTGCTGCCACCTGCTTTGACAGTCTTCCTATCTATAACGAGAACTTTTTGCTCCGGCAGATGTGTAATGGAAATGTCGACTCAAGTTCAATCCAATACCATAATCTTGCTACTCCTGCGGTAACAAAAAGCATCACAGTCAACCCATTCCAATGGAAGGATAATGTCGGTCTTCGTATGGAGCTGTATGGATGTGAGCCAGGTATGCTGTATTTGTAATCTCACGTGATTCGTCTGTTCTTAGCCCATCACAATTAAAAAAAAGAAAAATCTTTAAATTTATTTTTACAGAGATACTTTGAATAGGAAAAATAAATTATAGAAAGAGGATTTGTAAGAAATCTCTCTCTTCTTGTTTGGGTTAAACAATGGGGCTACATTTTCTTCTTTCGTCAGAATTCCATTTTGTGGCGGTGATGACCATATGGAAAACGCGTTTTAAACTGGATTACGCCAACTCCACAACCGAGAGCTACCTTACCATGAGAGACGATGTAATTGCTGAGGTAATAGAACGACAAATGTTTTTACTGATGAGCCTTTGACTCAAGGTGTGGCTTTTTTGTGTTAAATCTAGTAATATGAATATTTTGTGGGTCATTCTGAATGTGCCTCTTCTCATTAAGAGGACATAATATAAAGGCGCGCGCACCAGAACAAACCGTTACATCGAGGTATATTGGTTTTGAGGTTACAAGGTGCGACTCATGATCACTACATTCTTTGAATGCCGTTCAAAGCCCATAATAAAAATGAAATAGGTATAATCGATATGTGCAGCTTTTCAATTTATTTAATAAAGGTAAGGTCATTTCAACAACTCTTCTTTTAGGTTACAGACTTGTTGCGTGGTGTTTCTGGATTTCTCTTTGCTGATTTGCGGACCCTAAGGTAGGAAATTGGGAATTTGCCTATGCTCTCTGTATGATGGTTTTTTGATACGCATTTTACTCTCAGAGACTGCTCCTAAAGGTCGCAAAAAATAGAATCTTGACCGATATCCAAAAATGCTCCTTTTTTTCGCCCTTTAGTTGATTTTGGTCTTGAATTTCGCTTTCTTTGATTAGTCCACATTCAGGGTCCAAGAAACTTGTTATGGCTGCGGAAGTTCAAATTTATTGTATTCAGTCAAGAAAGGCTGCAGTAGCTCAAGAGTTAAAATTTAGCTTACGGAGTGGCTTTTCCTCGATGCTTGGCGAGTTTCTTTACCTTGAGGAACTTTGTAAGTAAACACGGTTTACATTTTTTTTTGAACCAAAAATGCACTTCATGCTTTACAACATGGCTGACGTTCGGTTCTAGGATCTTATTGCTTGTTGAATCTCTCCGAGATCTCTACCTAGGACAGCAGTGCTAGTATTCGAAAAGGCGTCAAAAGAGAGACGGATAGTAAGAATTTTACATCGAAACTTTGAGCGCATGGTGTTTTTGCTGTCGCCGTCGAACTTTTTCTAAGATTTTGGAACATTAAGCCTTTCGATAAACCTAAGATAGCAACGGGGAAAACAAAATTCACTCAGTATGTGTCGAGCATTACATTTTTGTCATTAAGCCCCAATTAGAGAGGATAAGCCATGACAAACAATGAAGCAATCACACATGTACCTTACTTAAAGTGGGTGGTCGTTTCATTACGGTGTGGAATCGATCCTGATAACGAAACTTATTTATTCCTCCAAGTCTAGAACAATAGGAAAAGTTTGACACAAGCGCAAGCATATCCCCGAAGATCGACCTTCTGAAAAATAGCACGTGAAAAATTGCTATAGTATAGTGGTTAAAATTGTCTTTTTTTCTTCAGTTAACTGCCAGTGCGACGTTCCTTCAGTTAAGGTCGAGCTGAGGAAAACCTTGGAGGATGCTGTGATTATTCACACAAATTCTCGGTTTCTTCTAAAAGCGACTCATAAAGGAGATTGTAAAAGGTATAACTCTGGTAGCTACGAACTACATTGGGAGGTGTCCAAATGCGAGGAAAGCACTGGTTTTTTTAATCAGATGATTCCGTACGGAAAGAATAAACCAGGTAGACCTAAATTCCTTTTCCCCCGGCTTTTTGGCGTTGGTTACTTGTACATCCGGTGTGTCCTCAAAAATCACTTCAAGGAAACTATAACTTACGATTATGGGTATGTTCGTATCACACATCCACCACTCGTTGCGAAGATCGACGGGCCGTCAAGGGTCCTCATGGGCAATGAGAGTTTTGTGATATTGGATGGATCGGCGAGCTATGACCCAGTGGAAAGACACAAAAAGGCAAACAGTCTCTCATTTACCTGGTTTTGCAGAAGAGAAGGAGTGTTGCAGAAGGACAAGGATGAAATTTCGACGGTCTACCCAAATGACACTCGTGTTTGTCATGGAACTGAAACCAGGCATTTGAACAGTTCCATGCCCATGCTCACTCTAGATTTAGGTAGATTAAGTGGAAACAATACATACGTTTTCGAACTTTTGGTTCAGAAGGGAGATAGATTAACTCGAACGACTCACAAACTATACGTTGAGCCGCCGTTTCAGCTATTTTTCGGGTAAGAGATAAAGTAATTTGGTATTATCAGCTAAGTTGATAGCGTAACTTGGCCACCGTAAAGAGTTACAAAGCTGACGTTTCGTCAGAGCGATGACGAAGGGCTGAAACTCAAACGTCAGCTTGTAACTTTTTACTAACTTTACTTAACTCGACGCAGCATCACAGTTTCTTTAGAAACTTACCCCCTTTATTTTAAGAGATAAGGTAATTACGAGGAAATCCCAAAGCCACGATATAGATACGTGAGGTTGCTCCTTTGCACTTGACGTTTAATTTACAGAGTGGGTTTGTCTTTATTCAAAGCTGGTTGTTAGGTAAAGTTAATTCACAGGATGGGTTCCATCAATGATAGATTCCATAGTATGACGGAAGATTGTGTCACCTTTTACATGCCAAAATTAGAGCTTAGCTTCGTAATAGCGGAGCTCGCATAGCGTAGCCCCATAATTATACAAAAAAGTAGAAACCCATCAAGCCGAAAAAATTTGGATGTACGACCGTACGACCGTACGACCGTACAAGGTGCTACTTTTAAGCCACGGCTTTGTTCAGTAGTCCAGTGGTCAGTACATTGGGCTCCGAGTCAGACGATCCGGGTTCTAGTCCTGGCCGGGGCAAGGCGTTGTGCCCTTGAGACGTGCGGGAAAAAAAATGCGAGCTCCGCTTTTAGGCTTGGCTAAATCTATATATTAAATTTAGAAATTTATTTTGGATGTTACTAAGGTAAGTGCGACATTCCATGCTCTCCTTTATAAAGTTATCTTCATTTTCCAGATGTACAACAAATTGTGGGGCCAAAGTGAGCGCCAATCGGCGGTTGACCATAAGAACTTCCTGCTCAGGGCTATTGTGCGACAGAATAGCCAGATACAGCTGGTTATTATTTAAACTGAAATCTAACGGCGAGGACTGGCTCGAGGTGCCGAGCTTTGAGGAGAAAATACTGACTGACATCGATAGTCCTTATTTAGTTATTCCTGGTGATGAGCAACTTCTGGAGAAGAGCAGCAAGTATAAGTTAAGAACAATTGTAGCACTTTCAAATAAATTCACTCTCACAGAGGAATTCATTTTCCTCACTAATTCTCCTCCTCGTGCAGAGAGTGATGGTGGTGGTTGCTCCGTTATACCTGCTGAAGGCTTCGTGTTGACAACAGAATTTAACATCAGCTGCTTTGGGTGGTTAGATGATGATCTGCCTTTAACTTACGATTTCAGGTGAACAAAATAAGAGTATTCCTCCGACTTTTGGGGATATAACACTGTACTGTTTCTATTACGTTTTGGGTAATTTCACGTTTTGATTCTCAAGCGATTGGATTGGATAGCAAAATCACAGGAAAATGCATCTTATTTCATACAAGGAGGAATTTAGATCAAAATATTCCCCTGAATTTATGTTTATCCCTCCAACTACTTATATTCCTCTTTACTTTAGATATCACACCAGTTCAGGTGTATTAGTGATAAATAGTGGTCTAAAACCCTATACTATCACCCGGCTGCCGCTTGGAAACATAACATTAGAAGCCAGAGTATCAGACTTCATGAATGCCTCCGCTATTGAAAGATTTCAGGTTCAGGTAATGTATCTTCGTGATCCCTTGAGCTTGTACCTCTAAGTTAAAAATAGCCAGAGTAGCAGAAGAAATTGTACCTCATTGGGATCCTTAGCGATCATTTTGTTGAAGACTTCGAATTACGTATAGTTACTTCCTTCTCGTTTCATTTACGAGCGAGATCGGGTTGGTATATCAACACCTGGTGACGTACATATAACTCTTGTCAGGTAGTCAGTCAGTCAGTCAGTAAATTGGTCAGTCAGTAATTTTTAGTTAAAACGCTCTATTTCAGGTGAAACCGGTACCTGCAAAAGACATTTCAAAAGTTCTTGAAACGTCGACCAGCGATGGCAACAACTCACTCCAAGGGCTTATAAATGAAAAAAACTTTGATGAGGCTGCACAGATGGCATATTCAATAGTGACGGCTGTGAAGGAAGCCAATATTGGTAGTGAAGACAAACAGAGGGTATTCCATGTTGATGTTAAGCTTTATTGTGAGCTCAAGATAAACACATTACCAAATACTTTATTTGCCCTTTTGCGCATTTAAAAAACATTTGTGCCCTTCACGTTATACAGAAATTTGTCAAAGCGCCAGAAACTAATTTGTTTTTCTTAAATCTTACTTGAATGGTTAACCTCTATACGTCTGGCATTTCATATTTCCTCAGGTAAAGGAAGCAGTGCTTGAACAGATTTCAGTAGTGGAGATTAACTCAATGCAACAGGTAACTCAACTATCAGCTGTTGTTGTCGTGGCAACGGAGGAAGAAAAAGGCATAGATGTGTCAGTTCAGGTATGACAATACCTCTCTCCAATCATTTTACTTTCAAGCTTTTGACTCACGCTTTTTACATCTTTAAAGTACGGATTTTATTATTTTTAAGCATAGATGTTGATTCATTGTAGGAAAATGCCGTTGGCCTTCTAGAAAATATGACGGAATTCATAACCTCACGAATAGGCACTGAGGCACAGAATGTTGACTTGGTTCGAAACATTGGAGGGAATCTGCTACAAGGAATTTCCAACTCACTAAGCGCATCTGCAAAAAAGGCTGTCGTCTTTGAACAAAATACGTTATTGGATAAAAAAGGCAGCGAAGACGTTATTATAGACTTTAAGAGGAAGCAGGTAATAATCAAAAGTCAGTTTTGGCATTTCTTTGTTTAGCAATTTGTTTTAAACTTTGTGAAATCTAACGATTGACATGTGGAGTGACTTTTAATGATATGGGTGGTATTGATTTTGCTTATCTATAGCACTCCACTTAATAATTTCATCTACCCAGATAGCATTGTAGAATGCACTACACCTCATTATAGTATGCAATTATTTGCAAATTACTTTTAAAATTCCTTTTAATAATTTGGATGGCTTTAAATTTTACTTATTTATAGTACTCCAATCAACAATTTCATCTGCCTAGAGAGCATTGCAGAATCCACTGGATCTCATTATCAATTATTACTTTTTCAACGCATAGAACAAAAAGATTGTTAAGAAGGCTCTCCATCTGATCGACAAACTAGCAAGTGGACTCTTAGAAACAAAGGTACCTGGTGAAAAACCAAGCGTGTACTACACCGATAAGCTGATGGTGACGCTAGATCGACAAACGCCGCAAAAAATGTCTGGCAAGACTGTGGGTGAGGGTGAAGGAAAGGCAACCCTTCCACCTGCTAATATCCTGTTTGAGGCAGACATGGCAAACATGAAATATGTTGATGCTCAGGTAGGATTGTAACCTAATGTAACGCCATAGGAAGGTTGTAAATTGCATGACCTCTTAAAGGAAACCATACCTCCTGCTTTAGCTGAAACATGCCAAACCTCTTCGAATTGACTCTTTTAGAACTATGCTATGATACGCTATAAAAGCCTCATTTTTCGTTTCTTTTTACCTCAGATCACTTCGTTTGACGAGAACCCCTTCACTTGGGATGAGAGTGCAAAAGGTATCCAATCGAAGGTTGTAGAATTCACGTTAAAGAATGATGGAACATCGCTGAATATCTCCGGCCTCCAAGAACCAATTGAGCTGTTTATTCCGGTTACCCGAACAGACCCGAAGGGCGAAAACAGATCCCTTAAAGAATATTTCGTAAAACCAAGCGATGGCTTTAATAATTTGCGCTATCATCGAATTGATATTCCATCCCCCGATTCGAAGGTCTCTTTCGAGATTCATCCTGAACAAGGACAATTCTTGGAAATTTTCGTGGCAGCCCAAAGGAAGCCGACATCGACTGACTTCCAGTTCAATATCCGTCTACCAAATTACGCCTCCTGTTCTGCGTTTTCTGAAGCAATTGGGTATTACAACTGCAGCATTAATCCATACGAGGTCTCACTATCAAGTGATGTCACCGGAAATACTGGTCTTCATTACATTGGTATTATGCATTCCTCGAATGAAGCTGAAAAATCTCCCAGCAGAGTTTCGCGGTCTTGCAGAAACGGTGGACGGCGCCAAAAGCGTTCTTGCATTGGCGTCAAAGATCCTCCTACCCTTCCGCCCCCAACACCGCTGATTTTGGTGCCCAAATATAATAGAAGTACAGACGTGAACTACACGATGTCAGTGACTGTGACGAGCTGTTTATATTGGTCAGAGAGCAAGCAGATCTGGACAAATGAAGGGTGCTCGGTAAATAAACAGATACCGCTTTCCCAATTTTTTGGGTTGACATAGCATCATTGGGTTGAAAAATATTTTATTTTATTTCCTAAAGAGTTTTGGTATGAGATATTTTCCAAAGAAAATGATCACTCTCACCGTCAATCTCTAATCCTTTTGCATTTAGTCAGTTTTGATGTAAGGCCAAAAAATGAATTCAAGTCTTTCCTCTGAAATTTCCCTACTTTGAATTATTTTCGTTGCGCAATGTAATACTGATCTGGAGGAAGTTGGGAATACACAAATTAACTTAAGCTCTTTACTGCGTAGAGGCGGCTGCAGAAGTGTACTTAATTTCCAGCACGCGCACAATGCTGCTTAATTGATTCTTTTTCTTGTATCGCTCATTTTGCTTTTTGATGTTCTTAAACCTAGATTGGACCAAAAACAAAGTCAGCCAGTTTGCATTGCCTTTGCAACCATCTCTCAGCTTTTGGCGGGGATTTCTTTGTTGCGCCAAATCCAATCGATTTCGACAAAGTATGGAAAAATTTTGGAAAACTGAGAGAGACTGGAAACTACGTTGTGTTGGCAACTGTGTGTTCCATATTTGGTCTTTATATCATGGGACTTGTTTTGTCCCGAAGAGCGGACAAGATCGACGAATTGAAGGTGAAATAGTGCTTGATCTCAAGTATAATATATTATAAAGTAGAAATATTACTTGCGCAGTGGATAAAAATAAAACAAGAACAGAATTTCTCCTAAAACATTTCAACGTAAAGTGAATTGAAAGACAAACAATGCTTGAGGATGTCTAATTTGATCATGTTGATACAGAACTTGCTTTCAAAGTATGACGTTGCATATTCGCTTGCTGAAAATAGCAGAAGCTATCGGAACTGAGCTCACTGGATCCCCTCTTTTCTTCTCTAGGGACTCTATAATGAAAATTGAAGCGATGTATCCTGATGAAAGACTTGAATTTTTACAAGCGAAGTTGAAAATGCCTCTTTGACGGAATGGTATTTTTCAGCTACGTGTAACAAAATTGATATTCCAAGAATCGCAAATTAGAATCGTCCTCCAAAAGAATGCAGACTGCATACATGTAAAACTCTGGCAAGAAATCTGAAACCACTTGAATAAAATTTACGAGGGGATAAACCTTTGATGCTTGTATGACCAATTTTTCTTTTCAGGCTGTGGGAAATGTGTTTTTGAACGACAGTACTAGCTCTGGTTGTGTTTATAATGTGCATGTACAAACTGGAATGTGGACAAACCAGGGGACCACAGCGCAGGTAGGAATAGCACTTTATGGTGAAGAAGGCTGCAGTGGTCCTATCTCACTTTCGGATTCTAAAGCGAGGAAGATATTGTTTGCCCGTGGCAGCCTAAATAGCTTTACTTTCGCTTTGCCAACCTCACTGGGAAGGTTATTCAAGATACTTATTTGGCATGACAACAGCGGTGAAGATCCTGCTTGGTTCCTTCAACAAATTCAAGTGGAAGATACCAGAAGTGGAGACCTATGGCATTTTCTTGCAAACCGATGGCTTGCCTTAGAGAAAGGATCTGGGGAGATTGAGTATGAAATAAATGCGGCCAATAAATACGAGCTCAGAAAGTTTAAGAATCTATTTGTTTTTCGGACGGCAAAGAACTTAGGGGATAGACATTTGTGGTTGTCTGTGTTAACAAGACCGCCCCACGTTGCGTTTACACGCTGTCAGCGATTGTCTTGCTGCCTGTCAGTCCTGTTCACTGCTATGGTAACTAATGCCATGTTTTATAATTTTGGTGCGTCTCCGAAGGACTCTTTTCAGGTGGGACCTTTAAAATTGAGCTGGACACAAATTAAGATTGGGATCCAAAGTAGTTTGATAGCGATTCCTATAAACGTCTTAGCTGCTTTGATTTTTAGAAACATTAAACAGAAGCCTTCTGAAAATGTTTTTGACATCAGAGAAAATGAGCCTAAAGAGAAAGTTCCCGGTTGTCTGCCTCACTTCTTTATTTATATTGGATGGACGATTTGCATTCTAACCTCCCTAACTTCTGCAGCCTTCATCGCGTTCTACAGCATGATGTGGGGCAAGGAAACTTCAAATCAGTGGCTAACTTCGGTTACTGTGTCGTTCATTCAAGACGTATTTGTTTCTCAGCCAATAAAAGTCATTCTTTTGGCTTCCTTACTGTCACTTATAATCAGAAAGCCGCCCGATCGCGAGAAAGTTTGTGGAATAACGTATCACAAAGGATATTCTAGCGATAAAACAGTTGCTAAGCCACCACAAGGGGTTGAACTGGAGAAAGCTAGAGACTACCGAGCTAAGGTTAAGGGCATGTATAACGTTCTATCTGAAATAACCCTCTTCTTGACTTTCTTCCTGCTTTTACTCATTGTATGTTATGGGAATCGAAGTCCTTCACGTTATGTGTTGACAACATCTATGGAAGACGCCTTTCGTAATTTCAAGGTGAGAATCATATCTCATTTCAGACTTTTTTTCTTAGACTGTGTTTGTCTAGCATGAAAGGTGTTACTGTTTGAAAGCTAGGTCGTGTTAGTATGTTGATTACACTTTGCACTTTCGTTTCTTGATCTTAAACGATCCGGCACATGGTTTCGAATTCATTCTTATTATAAAAAGAGACGAAAAAAAAAATTAATTGTGACCTGACTTTCGTCTAAGTGTAGTAAAAAAATGAGACGGACCCTCGTGGATACATAGAAAACTTTGCAAAAAAACTCACTCCAACCTAGTATAGTTATTTTGATATAAACTGAATGGTCGTGAACACAGTTTAATCCAAAACCTCACTTTATTAATCATACAAGAGTGCCAATGGACAACAAAACTATAACTCTTCCTTTCATCTTTTCAAGGGCAGAAATATTTCGTCCTTTTGGACTTGGATACATAGTAGACTCTTGCCAGCGCTTTACGACACCAAGTGGTACAATGGGTGGACCTTTGATTATGATGAAGGTTTCTTACGCAACAGAGAGCTTTTCATGGTGGGGATGCCGCGTTTAAGGCAAATCAGAATAAAACCTGGTAGGTGTCTAGTTTTATAGAAGATTAGAATTTACTTTAATCAACTGGTTGGACATTAAATTACGTTTTTCACAATCACAATCACTCCCAACAATCTTCGTGTTCCCTTGAATTCGGCGGTCATTCATTCATAAAACACACGCCTTGAGCAGTTTGTTGCTAATTGTCATGTTAAAAAAACTTGCGTGTTTTTATGAGCCACAATTCGACCGGATTTCACGGAACATTTCACTCTTAGATTCTGTATTAGTGACTAAAAAAGCTTCAGGCAAAAGTGTTAAAATCGACCTGCCGAACTCTTTCAGTTGTAGCCTATGGCAGATTGTCAGCTTTGATAGTCTGACATTTTTGACAGCTTTAGTCTTGTTCAACAATTCAGATTATTTGAACCATTCTAACGGGGATTCTAATTGGCTTACTGTCGCGTGCTTTATGAGAGTATAGAGCATGCTAACGACACTGCTATCCGCTTTGAAAACAAAGTTTTTTTTTATAAAATTGAAAGTAATGCTTAGGGAATTTAACGGAATCTTTAGCATAAAACAAATAGAGAAGCCCTTGACTATGCTCTGTTCTGCAGTAAAGCAGTTAGGAAGCGGTTAAGCACTGAAGAAGTGGGGAGAAACACTCGACTAGGCCTCGTGTTTTACCCTACACTTCTTTCGAGCTCTAGCCACTTCGTGCTTTACAACAGAACAGAACACAGTAAATGCTTCTATATTTAATAAATATAATTTTTTGGTCCTCATCGTTTTGACTTTGAGAACGTTTGTCATATTTTCAGCAAGTGTCTGTGTAGGTTCAGAGAAGACACCGCAACTTGGAACGTCGTTTACCAGATGCATTCCTTCGTATTCGCCAAAAAGAGAATACAAGACGCCATATAATTTGCCTGAGTGGATCCCGGTGACGAAATTAAGTGATAACCAATCAGTGTTTGAACTAGAAAGACTGTGCCCTAAACCCTGGAGATATAAAACTTCCTGGGATTTAAAAACACTCTCATATGAAGGATTTTACAGAACATACGATGGAGGAGGATATGTGGCAGACTTGGGCTACAATATCAGGTCTGCTTTAGGAGTTGTTAAGGAACTACAGACAAACAACTGGATGGATGAGTTCTCCACAGCTATTTTTGTAGAATTTACAATTTTCAATCCGTCGAGCTCACTCTTTAGTGTCGCGAAATGCCTGTATGAGCGATTCCCAACAGGAGGAGTAGTGTTTTCAAAAAGTGTAAGAACCCTCACGTTATATTCAGCATCGAATAACAACTATCAAACTTTCCACGAAGTTTGTCAACTTCTCTTCATGGTTCTCATTTTATTTCTCATCATTAATGAAATGTCCAAGATCTATAGGGAGAGGAAAAAGTACTTTACCAAGTTTTGGAACTGGATGGAATTGATACAAATATTAACCGCGATTTCCTCTCTTGTCATGTACTTCTTGAAAGCCAAATATACTAGCTGGTTCATAAGGAAAGTCAGGAACAATCCCTTCGAGACCTCAAGTGCGGATTATATTGTTTTATGGTCAGCGGTTGAAATCTATGTGCTATCATTTCTCATATTTATCGTTACTATAAAGTTTCTCAGACTCATTCGTTTTAATCGCCATGTGTGTCAGATGCTGGGGACTCTGGCACGCGCTGTGAACCCTCTCGTCTCTTATTCCGTTGTGTTTATTTCAACGGTACTGGCGTATACTCAGCTTGGTTTTTTGTTGTTTGGTTCCACAATGCTTCCATACTCCTCGTTTTTAAACTCCCTTCGCGCCGTGTTGCAAATGCTTCTAGGAGGAAGGATGTACTTTTACGAGATAAAATCAGTTAATGGCATTTTGGGGCCGTTGTTTATTTTTCTCTACATGCTAACAATGGCGTTTATACTCTTGAACATGTTTATAGCCATTCTAAACGATTCCTATTTTCAAGTGGTCGAAATTCCGCAAAATGAATTTGCCGATGCTGATTTGGGGGAGTTCATGATTTCCTACTTGATTAGAAACATGAAGCTTAGAGGAAGACGATTGGTTTCCTCATTTAAAACAACCAAAAAAAGTCGTGCGTCACGGTGTCGATCGAAAGAGAGGAAATACGTTATTAAGGAAAAATACTCGTCGGAAATCCAGAGATTGTTCACAGTTGAACTCCAAACAGAAATAACAGCAACATGTCCAATAGCGTCGATAGAATCTTTCACAGAAGATTTGGATGATACAGATAGAAACGAAAATACTTACAAAATCAGTGAACAAAATGGTACCAGGGCAGTTATAGATTCAGGAAATATAAGCCTGTCTAGCCTTCTCTCCATAGATGAGGCATTTGAGTCAGATGAAGATGGGTATCTTGAAGAGGTGCTGCTAAATGTTAAGAGCGCATCATATTCTTCAGAATTTGTTTTACGTGTGTCGCCATTGCGTCCAATAGTTGAGACAAATGTATGAAGACATGGTGACGCCTGACGTCCGCGTTTTGAAGGTTTAGTTTTGTGCACCCTCAGGCAGAAACACGTTATTCTTTTTATATATATATGTATATATTCCTCATTTAGAGTCGGTGATAATCTTGTCTACACGATATCCGTCTGCTTACAGAGATTTCTACATTTTGTTAAGAATGACTCAAGACTTGATGGCCTAGTTATATGGGTACTCTTTTTAATAACGAAAAAAAAAAATATATTCAGCACAAAAATGGCGCAATTTTTTAGATGTACTCAGTGCACCTAGCGGAATTAGAGCCTCACGCCGTTGAGCCTCTGAATCACGAATAGCCAATGCAATGGCCCCCAATAAGGAAACAAGGACGAACGTTTCATTAGGTATATGCGCCCGACTTTTCATTTCTTGGTCAAACCAATGTGGCCAATCTTTTAGTTACTGCATACACCAGCATGACCGACCTCAACAAATAACGCTTAGATACACAATTATAGCGATCGTGACTGCAAGTGATTACGAATTATTTCAACAGAATATGACAGAGTTGCTGTCGTGTTCGCGGGGTTATGTATGCGCGTATACAGACTACGGCACTGTTATTTTTTCCGCGCGACTTTTTTGCCATAAGCAGAAAGTGGTATACATAATTTTCCAAGGAGGTGAAAACAAGTATGTCCTAATGTCATTTAGTTTTTAGTTTATCTAGGTGAGTCGCTACGAACGACATTAGCCATAGGAAGAAAAACAAAAGGGATGTCGGTTCATATCTAAGCAAACCCGTGCCCTTTGCCTTGATTATACTTAAAACTTCGTTATGTTCTGTTATTTATTTTTAATCCTTTTAAACCAGCGCGTTAAGCTGTTTATCCCATTTTAGATATATAGATGCGACGACTTTTTTTTTCATCCTTGTCTGATCCTTTAAAACTAATTTATTTGAGCTAAAAATGTTTTAGGATGTGGATCCCCAAACTCCATAATAATCTTTTCATGTATTATTATTATTTTGTCCTTCCCATTTTTCCTAGTAATACCCCACCCATACAATTCCTCCAATAGTTTTCTTAATTTTCACTGTTAGCACCAACAGTTTGGGAAACACATGAATATTCCGTCATTACTCTCCAACTGAAGAAGACCTAAATATATTTATACAAATCACAACTGGATACCAATTCTATTTCTCTATGATTTGTTTATCATTGTTTTTTTTTCTTTTTTTTTAAGTAAGTCCCAATTTTCTTCATGAGTGTTGACCATAGCGTCAAAATCAATTTATTTGAATTCTTGGTATAATTCCAAGTGCCCTCCTTTCAGTTCTTATAATAGTTCCTTCCTGTATAAAGAAAAAAACTAAACATAATCCATACCTAAGAAGTGAGTGATGTAAAGCAAAATCTTAAAAAAAACATACATCCTATTTTTCTTTACCTTCTAGAAAGGTGTCTGCTGTTTATTGTCCGTTTTACCCTCTGGCGATGTTTGATAAATAATGTATGAATTATAGAGGTCTTACTCATTTAATGAAAATAAATCGCGTTAATAAAAATAAATAGTAAAAATTGGTTTTTCTCCAAACGTCACGTCTCTAGTCCGAAATTTAAGTCACGAAACTAATCTTTAATACATACGTATATATATATATATATATATATTCAGTAAGGTAGGGAAAAAAACAAAGAGACTATACTTCCTTCCCTACAAGCCTGTTTCGTGATTACTCACTCATCAGGGAATTTTATTCCGTTTTACCCACTGGCGATGTTTGATAAATAATGTATGAATTAAAGAGGTCTTACTCATTTAATGAAAATAAATCGCAAAATAAATCGCGTTAATGAAAATAAATAGTAAAAATTGGTTTTTCTCCAAACGTCACGTTTCCAGTCCGAAATTTAAGTCACGAAACTAGTCTTTAATAAAAATCTCCTGATGAGTGAGTAATCACGAAACAGGCTGGCAGGGATGAAAGTATAGTTTCGTTGTTTTTTTCTATCGCGCTCTACTTCTGCGTGTCGAGCAGTGTACAACGGAAAAATGAAAACACAGACTTCCTCTATATATATATATCTATAGACGTAGATGTTAGAAGTTTTTTTTGCTTGAAATAAAAGGATGCTATGGAAGTATAATAATGCAAAACCTTTTTTTTTTTAAATTTACTGTCGATGTTATACGTTTCGGTTTATGTAAACGTTCATATCGAGTGTGTTCTTGCACGCTTGTGGGCTCGAAGGAAGAAGGCCGCAGACAAATTTCCCTACAATACACTATTAAATTTAATTTAAAGGATTGATTTGATAAGATCTGCAGGATAACAGGAAATTAAAATGAGAAGTTACCTGAAGCTTGTGGCGTGCGCATAATTCTCGCTCAAACTACAGGGGGTTCATTTGAAAAAAAAAAGCTTCATTTTAAGTTTCTGGTGTCTTTTCAAAGAACTCACAACAAGTGTAGCGATAAAGTTGGTAGACACCGTTGAATCTCCAGGCGCCAATCTTGTAAGTAACATTGCATTTCGACGTTTTATCCCCCTTTGGGAAACCACTGAGTGTTAACTTTGAAAGGAAGACCTCCACTAAAGAGTCATCTGGTGAGCTAGCACAAATGATAATCATAACCTGAATTCAGCCGTAGATTTTCTCAGTGCATTGAGGATGGTACAATAGGATATGCAAACCGATTGCCACACTATACCTCCAGTTGACTATTTTTCAAACGTCAAAATGCCTTCTCAAAGAAATGCTCTTTGTTTGTTTCTCTATTTTGACAAGAAAGGCCTATAGCCTTGTAAGTGGATATTTTGAAATCTATCTTCCAACATTCAAATGCTTACTAGGACAAAGGTGAAAAACAAAGTTTTTCTTTTTCGCTTTTTGTTCAATTTTTTCTCTGTTTTTAATAAGTAGAACTCTACGTCCATCGTCAATTAAGTAACAAAACATGCTCCGTAACTTTCACTCCTTTTTTTTTCTTTTTCACGTAGTCCTCAGACGATGGGGTCCACAGAAGTCACCTTTTTTATTCTTGCAGTCCTCTCTGGAGTTAAAAGTCAAGATTTGTCTGGTGGGTTAGGTTCATTTACATTCAGTAATTTTCATTTGTCGTACTTTAAGTATTATATATTAAAATGCTAATTGCGTGAGAAATTTAAAGCTATTAATATTTTAGATTGCGTGCATTGTGTCATCAACTATTATGCCAAATTTTAGTTCAATTATGTTGGAGTCCCGTTACCAAATCACTTCAGGTGGTATTAAAAATGAAAGAAGATTCCAGAAACTCTGGGTTTTTAATTTTTACGCACAAGGAAAAAAATATTTATCAAAAGAAACGATCATGAAAGTAGCGCTGCGTGAAAGTTTGGGAAAATCCCTCCATCTTTTGGTGGCTTAATGAAACTGAAATGAGCGACACGCTAGGGTTGCAGCGCTCAGCTATAATTATGTGGCTGCAAGGATAAGCTTTCAATTTTCCGCCAATCTAGGATATTTTCAACAAGTTGGCTCTTTCCCACGGTGGAGCTCATCACTTGGGTGCAATTTTGAAATTGTCCCCGAGGAGCAACTGCGCCGCGGGCTTTTTTAAGTTTTTGCGCCCTAATTCGAGGGCGGTGCTTATTAGAGGGCGGCGCTTATTTAGAAATTGAATTGAAATCCTTAGTTTATATACTTTTCCATTCTATTTCTAGCGGTCTAGTTGATCTGAGATATTGGGTACGGCTGTTCTACTTCTGAGTCTGTGCATTCAAAAGAATTTGCGTCTAGTCCCTTCAAGCTTTCCAACTGCACACGAAGTAGTAAATTTCATGAAAGAATTATTCGAATAAGTGCTTCATTAGGAATGCGGCGCCTACTTTTCTTTCTTTCTTTCTGTTACAAATGCGGCGCTTATTCGAGGGAGGCGCTCAATCGAGTTAATACGGTATACGACTCCCGCAGTCATTTGTTCCTTCTTTCGACCTCGACCTTGGCTGTAAGACTTTAAGAAAACTAATTGAGTAACTGTCCTGCAATGAAAGACAACAGCTCTTTATTAATCCAACCGTTCTCAGAGTGAGATTTAACAAATGTCGTCTGTCGTTCGACAACCTTTTATACTAAATTTGTATTTCGAGAAACATCCTATTGAATTGTTTGGTATACAGCCTCTCAGTATGAGTGAGTAAACAGCTTCTTCAGCTGCAGCCACGATTTTTCAAAATAAAAAAAGAGAGGGAAATACTGAATGAAACCTAGATAATCGCCGTAATCAAATGTTTCAATGGCTCTGAAACCACAGTTAACGATGACTCGCCACAAATTTTGGTCAATTATTTTTTCAAAAAAAATTTTGATGTATAGTTCGAGACATAAATGTTGTTTTTTCTCTTTGATTATTTTCACTCATGGAAATTTTCTTACTAAGTTTTTGTTTTACTTTTAAAGTTAAATTAAAAAACTATGAAATCCACGTGGAAAATGCCAAATTAAACATGGTATTCTTCAGATCAGTTAAGTAATTTATCGTGGGATTGAACACAATAAAAGAAATTGAGAGTAGATAGAATAAGAACAATGATATTTTTTCTCCTCTGAGAGTATATGTCATAAAAAATGATACTTCAAATTGATTACTGAAAATTTCTTTTTAATTACGGAACGTACTTTGATAGTTCCTAACTTTACGCCCGAAAACAATTTCTTCGGCACAGTCCAACCTCGATTATCCGGACCCCGATTATCCGGACTATTCGATTATCCGGACTTTCTTCTCTGGTCCCAATTTTTCTATGAATATTAATTAGTTGTGATCTTGAAAACTCAAAGTCGCAAAAAGCCCAATAATCCTTTCAAAAGACTGTTGAAACAGCGTATTATCCTGTGCGCTTTTCAAAATTCGAAAGTGCGACGAGACAAAGAAATATTCTGATGCGTTCAGCTGATATATGGTTGGCTCAATTGTTTTGTTGCCAAAGGAATTTCATGTTTGATTAGTTCCCTCCGCGTGGGCTATGTAAACACACGAGCGATCGATCGTAAACTCAAATAAAAAACATGCCTACGAAGCGAAAACTAGCCGTTCTATTGATTAAAGATAAGCAGATAATTATTTCACATTTCTATCTCATTAATATTCATATTTTCGATTATCCGGACTCTCGATTATCCGGACTATTTACCGAGGTCCCGATGAGTCCGGATAATCGAGGTGCGACTGTACTAAATATTTCAGAAAATTAATTCGCCCTACTTTTCTATCCTTGTAGCCTCAACTTGACCGATGCCGCCCCCAGGATTTTATACTCACTTACCACCCCATGATTTTTACAGTTATAATTATGTACTTCGGGAAGCCTGATCCTGTTGGGTCAACAATGAAAGCTATTTCGTTCACACGTTCACGTTAATCTCTCTTATATTCTCTCTTATTTATCCAACTGCACAAAGTAGAGTACAAATAACGCTCGAATAGAGTGCAAATATCCTGTGATATTGTACGGTTATTTAGACAGTTGGTTATTTTGTACAATAAAAAAAACTGTTTAAGCAGTCGGCTGCGCGCTATGCTTCTCTATCCGCTTTGCTTTTCCCGCCTTATGAGAAATGAGTAGAAAGACTTAACAGAAAAAAAAAACAGTTGGATAACAGGTATCTTACGAGACGTTTTGGTGTGTAGTATCGCTGAGTATTTTTACGAGTTGTACCGTATTTTGAAGAGCCCGTAAGGCGGAGTCAAAATACCAACAACGGGTAAAAATATTTAACTATTCTAAACACCAAAACGTCTCATAAGATATGTTTATTTTCTGTGTTTACAAATTTATTTCTGTATATCTTTGAGACACGTTTATTGTTCGCATTAAATAATGGTGACACGTCGTCAACGAGACGTCATTTTTTTAATATCTCTCATTTTCATTCTAAAAATAAATAAATATATAAAAAAAAGATAAAAAATACAGTCTTTTTGGAAATAATTTCCCGAGGAGCCCTGAATTAGCATAAAAACAATAGTTTAATAGTTTTAAGGTGGCTTCGTTTTAGCAGATCGATTCCACTCTTTATTATGATGGTGTCAAAGAATTTGTGTCCGTGTTTTCATTTTGTCGTCGTGTTGCTGCGTTTCGGATTCATGCAGCTTTTTAGTGACAAACTGTCGTCTATCACAAGTGAAAGACTATAACACCAAACTTATGCAACGAAGCTAAAAGAGATAAAAGAAAATTCTCGATTGAAATCAAACGTATCAGAAAATGACCGAACAACAGGGGCTCACGAAAATAAAATTTCAGCGAAAGGAAGAAAGAGTCCGAGTCTACGGCGTCCCGTTTGGTACGGCAGATGTCTGCGAGCAGAACTCACAAACGAAACGTCATTCCAGAACGGTCACTGGGATAATTTTGTTTTGTTTCTTTCTTTGTTTTGTGTCTAAAAAGGTGTTTTTTTTTGTAGACAACAATAAGGAAGATGCTCCCTCCACGTCCCTTTTGACAACCGGCGATAAATTTCCACCAATTGAATATCATTCGTGATAATAGAATTTTTTCTATGGAAATATGAAACCATCTCACAATAATTTTTTCAGATGTTCTTGGATTTGGTCGAATCTTCGGCCTAAAAGTCCAATTTTGTTTTAAGATGAAATCAATTTTGTTTTTCAACTTCTTTGCTTCCTTTGTGTTTGGAAAAGCCTCAAGCGAGCCACACGGGATTGAAAACTTGACAGGTAAGTTGCAATTTAAAATGCAAGGACTTGAAAAGCGCTTCTGGCGAAAACAAAAACATGTAATTTTTGATGAGGGAAGTCATTTTAAGACTCCCCTACCGGTCATCTTCTTTTTACAAGCCAATTGTAGATATCCGTTGGAAATCAAGGAAATCTCCATGGTTTTTGGTGGTGATAGTGTTCGGACGGCTTCAGGCGAAGAGGTGAACACCAAGGGCATTCGAACGTCGCGTGTCCTTGAGAAACGAAGACCGCAAAACGGCACTCATCACCGGAATGAGATATGGATCCTGGCCAAGTTACTAAATGAAAGTATAGTAACAGGTATTTCCACGCTTGGATATAATGACTCCAGTGAGAAAGAATGGATCACAGATTATATGCTGATGTATTCCACTGGAAAAGAGTATTTGAGTTTTAAAGAAACGAGTGGAGAAGTGAAGGTACGACGATACTTGGTTATTGCAGTTTATTTGGCGCCGTTTCTTTTTTTATTTGAATTTTTATAGACATATGGTGTCATCGTCCCTTTTGACGTAGAAATCAAGAGAAACATATCACCTATATGAATATCGCGTGGTTCGTTTAAAGAAAAATATTTTCCTGTCTAAATGTGCGTGGCTCTTTATCAAGAGTAAAAAAGCGAATATGTTAATACTCCATTGCTGTCCTAATCATTTCGATTTAAATTCAACTGTCATGTCTTTTACTTAACTCATTTTGAGATAAATGTTTGGGTTTATCAGTGAATTTTTTCTTTATTAATAAAGTTGTGCGCTTCGTAAATAAACACCATAGAGGCTTGTCGAGATCTGTGGAGTTGAACTTTTTCACCCGGCTTCGCTTAAAACTGTTTAACGCATTAATGGCCATATTTAGATATTGATCTGACTAGGGAACAAGAGAATATAATCGTCACTTGCACTCAAACCCCTCCGGCATAGCGGTATTTCGACCCTACAATGTACATTTCTTAAATTGTTTTTTAATTAAAGGCTTTGAATGCGGGAAATGAAAACAGAGAAAGGAAAGGAATTCAATTTACTCCACAAACATATTATTACAGAATCGGGGATATATATTTGACACGTTTTTTTCTTAGCTTATTTCTTTGATCTGGGCCGAAAAAAAATCATTTGAAATAACTTGCATAATTTTTTTTGTATCATAAAGTGCGTAGCTATCGGAGCTGTGATATGACAGAAATCTTTAAATGATGGACACCTCCAATTTTCTAATTCACGCTGTAGAGGCGAGAATAAACCAGATGGGGACCCGTACTTATAGAAATGGAGAAGATTAGAATAGGCTTTTAAAGAGGGACTTATTAGACTTGATCACAAGAGTACATAACGTCGTGTGGTTCCTTCACAAGGGAGCTTTATTGAGCACGGCAGGAGGTGTTACCCTCAACTTTGGAAAAAAGACTTTTAAAGGGCTGCCACACGAGTTATTATTTCCATTTTTTTTCCACGAGTTACTATTTCCAGTTTTTTGAACCCATTAAAGGAAACAGTCTGAGCTGAAATAAATATTTTGGGCTAGTTGGAAGCAAGCACCATTGTGAAAGAAAAGTTAGAAACAGAAATGATCTATTTTGACATTTTTATTACCAGCCACGAGCATAGCAATTAATTTGCCTAGCTCGAGGCTTAATAATAAATCGACCACAGCTTTTTCGCAGCTGATTTTTACATCCAACCGGAAGTTTTATTAGTCATAGCAGCGGCATCTGTTTGTGCGCAACATATAACACAAAAGTTAGCTATTTTATAGAAGAACTTTTACTCATTCATGTGTAAAATTGTTATGCTTCTAGAATTTCACCGGAAATAACGACATTTTCACACAACGTTACAACTACGTCCCACTTCCGGTTATTACGGGCCTGGTTATGGTAATACCGCTGGGATGGAATAATAATATTGGCTTACGAATGCAAATTTATGGTTGTGCTCCGGGTAAGTCTGGTTAGATTTTACTCATTTGAGTCATTTCTTCGAGAGTTTTTAGCAAAACTCCCATTGAAGTTGTCAGTTTTTTTATATTTGTAAAATTTATCAGATTATTTAAGGTAAACTTTTTATGAATTTTTGAAAGAAATTTGCTTGAAACATCAGTCAATCTTCAAACATTTGTTAGTACCAGCATCTTTAGAAAATGAGTAATTGATGGCCAGAGGTTTAAGAACTCTCCTCTCGTTCACTTCCCAATTCCGGTGCAAAATGTTGGCACATTTTGCAACAAAGGAGACAAATTAGATCCTGTCTTTCTTGGATGGCTGTTTTTGATAAAAACGTTTCCCTAAAGGCCGTCAATTTATTTCCCTTATGAAACAGTCAAACTTATTAGTGAAGAAATGAAGCAAAACAAAACTAGAAAGCACAAACTATTGATTAATGATAGAAATAGGCCCTTTCATCATTTTGTTAGGTTGTTCTTTATATATATAGACCTACATTGCAGTTCGAGGGAATTACTTATGACAAGTTCCGTTCATCCACAGGTTACTACTTTTTGGCGAAGCTAAAAATATTTGAACTTTTTGCATTCAATGATCTCGAATGTTCGGATAACTCAAGAGAACTGTATCAATACTGGTCAGCTAAATCTACAGACGAGGTACACTCGAACAATCTAACAGTTAATCACGAATCCTGCTTTGATCTGCAATTAAAAGCTCTATCACTAATCCATTGCCCCTTATATACGAGTACCTAATTTATCGCATATGCTTTCTTTTTCCCAGGGAAGGGGTGTACAAATGTTGGGCTAACATGTCATTCACTGTAACATTTTACATTTTCATGTAAAAATGTTTCCTAACTCGCTCACATATCTTGTACCATGATTTCTCTTGCAGATAAGACGTCTTTTAGAACATACCCAAGGGTTTCTGCGTGTGACGTTTCGACGCTTTCGGTGGGTGCTCTAAGTGTTTTAGTCATGCTGTACTCTGGGGTTGAGATGAGCTTTGAAACCTTTAATGTTTTAGTTATTCTAAAAATCGACGTTCGATTTTCGATGGAAACAGACTCTCTCCCACTTGGTAGCGAAGTAGATGTGAAAAAAAAAATTAACACTTTTAAGTATTTTTTTGTTGTTGTTTTACTATACAGGTTGAGTTCACGGTCGTTTAAACCATTGGTTTCCGCTGAGTTGGAGATACATTGTATCAAGGAAGCTTCCTCCTTCGTTTCTACGACCCTGGAAAAAAAAGTGTCCTCAGAACGCATCGAAATCCACTATCCTGGTGGGTAAAAGAATGTATTCAGTTGCAGTCGAGCAGATATTTTAGCAACTCCATGGGTAGCAAAGAAACTTGCAAAATTTTATTTACTGCACCACTCAGCTTGAGTTGTGAATCATCAAATGAATTTTCCTCAACTCGATGGCCCCTTATCACCAACGTTTGCCCCAGTTTATTCAGCATAAACCTACCGTGGGTTTTATTTTTCCACCCTAGAGCCTAAGGATGCTGTCCTAAGGCAAATGTCCTTCCCAGAAATTTTTAAGAACTCTCTTATAGTTTAGATGGTAACGACTCGTACTCCTGAATAAAATTGGCACTGCGTGAGTAATGTCCTCACCAAAAACAGCAGTCAAAGAGTTCTTGTCAGGGCTCAAACTTGGATCTCTCAAATCTTGTCTAGATCGTAGGTGAAGCTGTCCTAAAGGGGCCATAAAGAAAATAACTTAATTTTGGATATTCATTCTTTCTATTAAATAACAGATTAACATTTGATTTAATTGCAGGAAATTCCAGTTGTTATTCCCCTGATGTCGAAATTCACGTCGTCAATAAGAAATCTTTAACCAGGAAAGTTTTCACAACATCACGCCCGAAACTGCTCCCGGTCATCTCTCGCTGTGACACCAGGCCCATGCGATTAAGTTCTTCCTTATGGGAAATGTCACTTGTCTGTGACGAAAATCGAAATCTTATATTTCAAAACATTAGCCTTAAGGAGAGGTTCGTATTTAACCCTCGCAAGATTTGTGGATATTGCAATACTCCCTATTCAATAATTATCAGATATTCAGCACGTCTAAATGACCCTGGTGGAAAAAGAATAGAAGCTTTTAACCTCCTCAAGGTGGAACTGCCAGAACTTTTAGCAGAGATAAAAGGCCAGCAGGAGGCTAGCAGAGGAGTGTCGGGTGAAGTAATCTTAAATGCTTCGCAGTCACATGATCCAGATAGCCTAGCTTATGGAGTACTTAGTTTCAATTGGTTTTGCAGTTATAAGATGGATAACATGTCTTTAAATGAGAGCTGCGGTAACGGAAAGATGACCTCAAACGGATCAATCTTGGTCGTATACGTCAATAGACTAAAGTCAATGCAGAGCTACCATTTTAAAGTGCTGATTTCAAAGGGAAATAGGAAAAAAGAAGCAACTCATGTGCTTAAGGTGCATCCAGCTGTAAACTTCACTTTCAGGTAAGACAGAAATGCGTTTCGACATCTTTTGTCAGTCGGACTGCCATAATTTTTCTTTGGAAATTAGATTGCAGAAGAAACGAAAAAGTTAGAGTAGAAACTGTGACCCTGTGGTTTTCCAGGTTTAGGTAAATGTGGGTCCGCCCACAACGTAACCATCCCCCGTTTTACCAATGATAAAGCCTCGGCCAGTTGAAGTTCTGACTTTATCGTAAATTTCTTGTTTCCCTCACCGAAGTAACCAAGCGTAAAATCTTCGCCAGTCGTGGCTGGTTTAAGTTCCTCTCCGCTTCTCTGAACAAGGTATTCTTTTAGTCCTTTAACAGTTTCAAAAAGAGGAACTGCTTTTAAGCAATAGGAGTCTTATCTGTTCTTGTTGCTCTTTGTTAAGACGCGCAAGGCAATACTAATTGTATTTTCAGCCTCCATGTCCATCTCGCGCCGACAACCCCGAAAGCCTAAAATTAATTCTTATCTACCCATACCGCCTTTCGGTCTTGTCCCGTATCCTTGAGGCTTTGATCCGACAACGTAAATTGAAATAGCTGTATATTGATAGTGACAATATCTTTAATTGCAGATGTATAACCAATTGCGGTGAAAAGGTCATTCAATCCAAGCCGTTGAAGCTCAAACCCATTTGTGAGGGAAAACTATGCAATTTGATTAGGAACATAAAATGGCATGTCTACATTTTTCATTCCACGAACCATAGCCGTAGGTGGAAAAATTTGCAAGCATTTACCTGTATATCTCCAAGAAAATTGAAAACTTTTTCCGAGAAGGGATTTTCCATGAAGAATATTTCTGATGAAACCAGAAACCCTCGGATAAAGATCAAGGCTACGATTGGAATACAGATTAAACATGATTTGATCCACGAAGATTACGAGAAAGAGTTCGTTGTGAATTCCTTGCCTGATGAAAAAAATGAAGGAGGTGGCTGTTCTGTCACCCCTGATGACGGTTTCGCAGTGGAAACGTTATTCAATATAACTTGCGTTGGATGGAATGACGAGGATAAACCCCTAAAGTACGAGTATCACTACAACACGAGCGCTGGCATAGTAATCAATTATCCAAAGGCAATAAACAACATGTTGTCTACACATCTTCCCGCGGGTGATAGAGCAAAGGACTTCGAGTTACTGGTGGGCATTATTGTTAAGGATAAACTTGGAGATAAAAGAACCAGCAAAATTAGAGTCAAGGTAAGACAGTGACTTTTACAATTTTTAAATTTTTCCTCATTAAAAAAAATTTATTTTGATCTTTGGATAAAGATCAAGAAAAGAAATGGGCTAAGAAGCCTCAAGCTGGGAGCGAGGCAAATTTTAGACGGATCAACTTTTACTAAAAGGAATCTGATCAGAACATAATCATTTATCCTTAATCAGATTTCATAGATATCTTGCATAAGGCAGAGGTGACCAGGAATAATCGTTTGGAACCTTGGATAATTTTAAAAAAATCGAATTGCGGGAAATTAAATGTATTTCAGGGGACGATGAGAATAGGAAGGCAGTCTACTCTAATGAGTTGGCAATTGAAATCATGTATTAAAATTTAGCGTTGGGAAGGTAAAGAGGTTCATCTCTTCGAGATTTTTCTCAAAAGGAATGATTTAAAACCCACTTTTTTATTCTTAAATTGTGTTTTCAAATTTAAGATTGCGTGACGGCTTGTTTCCGCTGTAGCGCTTCTAAAACGTGTTTCAGCAGTTTTTTTTTTCATTCTGAGTAGGTAAGGGACCAGGACTCAGTGATGGAAACGTTACATAAGATTGCAAACGGAAGTAAGAACAAATTCATAGACTTGGCAAACACGAGTGAGTATAAGAAGGCCAGCGAGGTGGCGATTTCGGTGCTGTCAATTGTGGAACAGAGGAGGCATTGGAATGATTCAAAGGTTAATTACGTTTTGTTCATCTCAAAAGCAGTACGAATTTTTGCTACAAATAGTTAAAAAAAACAATAACTTCTCAACAGAAAAGTGAAATCTCAAAAGGAAATACTTGCGATCAAACACAAGAGGAAAAGGACGAGATAGCAATCTCATAGTTGGTTTTACAGATTATTTATGGAGGATTGTTCCAGTTTTTTTGACTAGAGCGAAAAAAAAAAGCCATTTCAATCGATACTCAGCTGAAAATTATTATTGCTGTAGCTTGCTATGATACAGAAAATTTGTAGCTAGCTTTAATAATTGATCAGATATAATATGCAATTTCCGGGGATACATGGAGTAATTTTTTCTTTCGCTCTATCTAATAGCGAGGTGCAATATCAGAGGAAACAGCTCGGAAGGTAAGAATATATAGATTAAAAGCCACATGCGAAGTCACGATTAGCTCATGGTTGCCTTTTTAAAAAGAATTACCTAATTAAGTTTTTTACTTATGCCTAGCTGAAAGATAATACCATAAAAGCACTGAAAGGAGCTAGAATCGACGATATGGACATTTTCACAAAAGTTACTACGGTGGTAGCCATGGTAACCGACGAAAGAGACGAGATATCTCAAGATGAACAGGTAACATGGGGTATTTATTTTACCGCTCGGTACAAATTGTTAGGCAACTGTTTTTCCTGTTTGCTATCAAGTTAATATCTTTAGCTATACCCTGTTTAGAGAGGAAAGAATGTCATAAAACAGGCTTTAGGCTTTGAATGGATAAAATGAAGAAGTTGACAATCTTTAGGTGAATTGATAACAAAAAGTAAATGCATTTGGCCTATTTTATATTGTACTCAGGGAGTGGCATTGGAACTGCTGGAAAATGCGACAAATTTTCTGTCCTCGTTACTAGCGAACAAAAGCGAAGATACAGATGCACGCACGGTGGCAGAGATCAGTTCGAAAATATTACTTGGGTTGGGAAATATTTTGAGAATATCTTCTGAAGATGCCAGAAACTATGTACTTGGCTCCGCAATTGGAAAACATTGGTATAATGTGGACAAGACTAAGGTATTGCATAATACTCAAGATTGACAGTGTAATTACGATATGATTTTTTACTTCACTAACTTACATTCCTCACTGGGGTACCCGTTCACTCTGGATTGGTCATTACTAAACCATGGCATTTTACGTTGAGATGAGAAGAACACCACAAAGCATGACGAGTGTCGTCAAAGCTCGGTTCAACTAAGCCAGGTCACTGTAGGTCAGTAAGCACAGAGGTTTACCTCACTCAGGCTTCGTCACGAGCCAACCACCTTTTAACAAATTAAAAATTTCCACTTTTCCTTTATTTTTCATTTGCAGGGAAGAGCTATTGCCATGAAAGCTCTTAAAGTTGCGTGGAAACTTCGAAATCTCCTCATGGTTACCGAATCTGCTGTGGAACCTGTGGTTGTTAACAGTCGCTTTCTGTCCATGGTTCTCTTCGCACAGGATAAGTCAAACGCAATCGTAGAAATCGACAAGATTAAGTTTAAACTACCGAATTACAAAGAGACACTTAACGCACAAGGAGTAAATGGGGCTGATCTCACTTGCAAGGTGGTGTTATTCAAGATAAATCCTTACACCTGGCACACTAGTGCAGCAAGAGGTAAGTTGTTGGTTCATTTACTGTTGAAAGTACTAACAACGTGGGGGACAATTCACTTCTCTATGGCGAGAATCATATAAATTACAATTTGTTACATGAGGTCACAGTGAAAAGCCATTCCTTGTGAATTGCATCTAAAAAAGTTACTGTAACTCCTTTTCTCCCTTCGATCATACTATCGAACTAAGAACTGCTTGACAAAATTCTGTGGTTTGAACAAATATTTTCATTCTCCATGTCATTCGAAATTATTTATCGTTGCAACTGTCCATGTAACATGTTACTTCACATTTTCTTAGCTTTAAGTGGTGTTTCTGAGAAACCGTACGCGTAGCCATAAAATCAATAATATGACTGGAGTCGTAGTCGTGAGCTTTAAGATGAAAACACAACGTAAAAATCGTAAAAAAAAATATTTCGGCTAACCAACAAGAAAACAACCTAAGAGCAATATCATAATGAGACTGACCATTTTGAATAGATGGTACGCTCTTTTTTTTTCTCTTGTAGTCAAATCATGGGTTATTGACGTTGTCCTTCAGCCTGAAAAAAAGAAAAATTTGTCTTTCTCCAATTTAAAGAAGCCAGTGCAGCTGTATATACCGCAGAACACCAACAATGGATCTAAAGGTGATGTCCTGAGCAAGACAGTGCATTATTTTGTCAAACCAAGCTTTGAAATAAACGACTCTAAGTTTATACAGTACCATGAAGTTAACATTCCTCACAAACGCGATGTAGTTTATGTAAAACTGAAACCAGAGAACCTATTTCCTGTCTCTCTGCGTGTCTATGTGAGCTTTTATGATTACCCCACGCCAACGAAGCACACCTTTTCAGTTGCAATACCATGCAAGCTCGGAGAACCGAAATGTGGCAACGATAGCTATATCTTTTCTTTCAATGCTTCTGATACTGGCCATACTGGAATCCACTACATTGGGATACACTATTACGAGAACAATAGCCATACAGACATGCCTCTTCACAAAAGAGCAAGAAGAAGTGTTGATCCCAAGACCGGACTCCGGAGCTATTGCAAAGACGGAGGAAGACGAAAGAAACGATCTTGTGTTGGCACGAAAGATCCGCCCCCAGCCCCCACGCCTGTACCCACCATTTTGAGGCCAGAATACAATGCTTCTACAGATTTAAATTACAGCTTGGTGGTATCAGTCGGGAGTTGCTTCTATTGGTCTGAAGGAAAGGAGTATTGGACCGACGAGGGATGTAAGGTAGGGATTGCTGCTGAAATGATGAGTATAAAAAACACTTAAGTAAAGTACATTTTCGATTATAATGGCTTTCATACCTTGTGTCTGCTGGGGTCGTAAGTGGTGGTGGGTCGCAAACAAACCCACCCTACTCCTCCAGTCAAGAAATTTGTCAATGACGGTATTTTATTGTTTTAAAAGTTTCTTTCATCTGGTTTGCTCCTTTAGATTGCACCAGAAGTAGTTTCAGGGAATATCTACTGCCAATGTAACCACCTATCTTCTTTTGGCGGAGCGTTCTTCGTGGAACCAAATAGAATTGAGTTTCACAAGGTCTTTGGTGAGTTCAGAGATCTCAGGAAGAACTTCATCGTCTTGGTAACGGTATGCAGCATGCTCTTGATATATTTTATTGGCCTCGTCTTCACCCGCCGGGCAGACAGACAAGATACACAAAAGGTCAGGAAATAAAATGTTGCTATACGCTTTTTATTCAGGAAGGATAAAGAGACTAGACATCTGAATAAATGTAATTTGAAAAAGATCTCCAGTACAGCATAAACTTGAGCTTAGGGGCCTGGTTTCTGCCACCCAATGACATTTTCTGTGAAAGAGGTAACTAAACAACTACACTTGGAGCGTTTTCAATTAATCCGAGCTGGTCGGTCAGGCTAGCCACGAGATAAAGGAACTCCATTTTTAATCTCGAGTACTAAACTAGATTATTAAGAGAATATAACGTTCTTTTCTTTTCTGTGGGAGAGAACTCATAGTTATATCAGTGCTTGCGCGTCTTTTTATTCTAAATAACAAGAAAAAGTAGAAATTGCAGCTGTGCCAGAGAGAGATTTATTTTTTAATTTGTCGCTACTAGATTATACCAAATGTTTATCTTCCGGTTGGCGACGAGGAAGGACCACATCACTACCACATATCCATTCAGACAGGAATGTGGATAGGCAATGGAACCACAGCCAGTGTTGGAATGATAATTTACGGCGAGGACTCCTACAGTGATATGATCGTCCTTAACGACTCATCTTTCCAGAAATCGTTTTTCTCTCGTGGAAGTATTAATACATTTACAGTATCTTTGCCAAGAAGACTGGGGTCGCTTTACAAAGTAAAAGTGTGGCACGACAATAGCGGCGAGAGTCCTGGGTGGTTCTTACAAGATCTAGTTATAACGGAATTGGAAACGGAGGAAAAATGGTATTTCCTCACAAAAAGATGGCTGGCAGTCGAAAAAGGTAAGGGAGAGATCGAAGTAGAGCTCAAAACTTCAACCAAGAAGGAAATATCTTCGTTTAAAAACCTTTTCCACTTCAGAGCTTCGAAGCAACTAGCTGATGGACACTTATGGATTTCTGTCTTCGCAAAACCACCTCAAAGCCCCTTCACGCGGACGCAACGGTTATCATGTTGCATGTCTGTGGTCTTCTTAGCCATGGTCACAAATGCTATGTTTTATGACTTTGGTCAGAAGCCTCGCGACACTTTTCAAATTGGACCGTTAACCATGAGTTGGACACAGGTGAAAATTGGAATCCAAAGTGCATTAATCGCACTACCTGTAAATGTATTCATTCTAACTGTTTTTCGAAATGTCAAACCTAAGACAACACTAAAGGATCACAGAGAGCTCGAGGAGGAAAATTCACCAAAAGGACTCCCACGCGTTTTCATATACGTGGCATGGGTTCTTTGCAGCCTCGCCATTCCGTCTTCAGCGTTCTTCACTGTGTTGTACAGCCTGCAATGGGGAGCGAATATCTCAAATGAATGGCTCACATCAGTGCTCATTTCTTTTTTACAAGACGTGTTTATCTTGCAACCCGTTCAAATTGCAATTATTTCTTCATTACTATCGATTATAATCAGAAAACCTCTAAAGCATGATCCGGTGCGTGGCTTGCCACACCGAAAAAATCCGTGCCATGAAGACACTATGGTTCTACCGCCAGAAAAAGACGTGCTAGAAACATCTCGAAAGTTCTGGATAAAACTTCGAAAAATGTTTCGATCTGTCCGGGAAATCAGCTTCTTTTTGATTTTTGTTATATTACTGTTCGTAGTATGCTATGGAAATAGGGACGTTTCAAGATATCACCTGAGAAGGTCAGTCGGGGATATATTCAATAAATCTGGCGAGGTAAGATTTCTTTACTATCCATGTTCCAGTGGGTTTTTGTGGGAGTCACGGTTTCCTATTGGTCATTGCGTTGAACTTCTGGTCGAGAATTGTGGGTCGAAACTTGGCCCGGTTATAGTGTCGTGTTCTTGGAACTCACAATGCCTCTCTCCACCCAGGAGTATAAACAAGTACCAACGAATTATCGGGAAAGCCTGATCAAATGCTTGAGGCATCCTTGCGATAGATTAGCATATTGCACAGTCGAGAGTAGTAAGGTAGTATTGGGCGCCTCATGTGATGGAAACTGGGATAAACTCCGGCTGGATGGGCCACTTTAACCCTTTACACCCTAACATCAGTATGCAAACTCTCCTTACTGTGCTCCACACATTTCCTAAGGTGTTGACAAGTAGAATTTGTTAAAAAATCAATAGCCTCTTTAGTTGGTGATCATTTCCTTTATTCTTGTAACCTAAATGACTGATTCGCGGATGATATTGTAAGGAGAAAGTAGGTGCTAATCACTATTAGGGGTCGAAGGGTTAATACCTTCACCACCCATGAAAATCAATAATCAACCTACAGTCGTTACATATCAATTTATTATTACAAGTCTCTATTCGTCAACGTTGGCAAGAAAACTGTACAGGGTAACGCCATTTTACAGGATGCATCCTTCCCATGGAGACTTCCTTAAGCTTCCCATTTTTACCAAAGCAATGGTATTTGGATAATAGAGTTTCATAAGCTCCCCTACGTAAGTATTCACCCAGTCAGTACTCCTGGCTATTAACAGCTCTTCGCTTCTCGCAGCTACCACGAAATTTGATCAAAGATGAATAGTGGGAAATTTTCAATGCTATAGTTTATTTTGAAATTATCTGATGGTATATCCCTCTCATTCTGAATTTTTTAGGGAATAAGGAACACCACGGCATTTTGGAACTGGACTCGAGAAAAACTAGTGCCAGGCCTCTTCTTATCCAAATGGTATAATGGGAAGCAGGTTAATTTAGGGGAGGGTTTCATCAGCAGTGGATATCCTTTTCTAGTTGGCATGCCCAGGCTCCGGCAGATTAGAGTGAAATCAGGTAAGAATTTAAGACGCCAAAGGGTTATCAGGTTCTAAGGAAGCACGTTATATCTTTCTTAAGACGTGCTTTGTAGTTGGGAAGAATTGGAATTAATCATGAATAGGTGCAAATTTTTGGACTATGCGTTGCACCCTCTCCACAACTGATTGTTGGGCGACTTTAAAAGCGTATTTGATATTGGCGATTCCAAAATCTGAAGGGTGAGCATAGTCATTTCGGAAAATAGTAATAGCTTCAACTACTCAGTGAATTTCTGTTATAAGCAGATGTTCGGACACAAAGGTTGATTGTCTTGTAATGTCGCATCAGAGGATAAGCCAGCTTTAAGGGGATTTCCGTAAAATTTTGAACTCGTTCTTTGCAGAATCATGTCTGACGGATGATTACATAAAAGTGAAGAGATGCTTGTCACATTACAGCTCTCATTCAGAAGACAAGACGACATACAATCTCCGTGACTGGACACCAATTTATAACATCAGCGAATTCGAGGCTTCGTTTGATGAGCTATGTCCTAAGCCCTGGAGGTATAGGACAGCAAATGCCTTGGAGGCACTCCCCTTTAACGGGTTCTACGCCAGTTATGATGGTGGAGGCTATGTCGCTGATCTTGGCTATAATGCTGAATCAGCTTTAAGAGTAATCGATGACCTAGAAAACAACGATTGGATTGATCTTAGAACAATTGCAGTGTTTGTTGAATTCACAGTTTATGAGCCCTCAAGCACACTTTTCAGCGCAGCCAAGTACTTGCTTGAGAGGTACCCAACAGGAAGCTCCATTATGAATACCAGAATTGATACCTTAAAGATTTTTGACCCTGCGGATCCTGGATTTCGTTCGATTTATTTAGCTTGTTACTTCCTACTTATTGTTTTCCTTCTTGGATTACTTTTGATGGAGATTTTAAAACTATTTAATCAAGGATGGAGGTACGTAACACATTTTTGGAACTTGATAGATGCTTTGCAAGTTATCGCTGCTGCAGCTGCAATGGCATCCTTTTTCTTCAAGGCCAAATATACGAGTAATTTTTTAAAGCGTGTTAAGAAGAACCCGTTCGCCACATCAAGTTCGGACTACATTGTATTGTGGTGTGATGTAGAAACGTGGCTGCTGTCTCTTGTCGTCTTCATTGTTACCGTCAAATTTTTGAGGTTGCTAAAATTCAACAATCATATCTGTCACTTCACGTATACCGTGAAATCAGCATTGAAACATCTATTTTCGTACTCAATGGTGTTCACGGCTACAATCCTTGCATACACACAGTTAGGTACTCTTTTATTCGGAAGCAATGTGTCTACCTACTCAAACCTGGCAAGATCCCTCATGATGCTCTTAGAAAGGCTGCTGGGTGATAACATGTACACAAATGAGCTCAAGGCAGCCAACCAGATTATGGCCCAGTTGTTTACCTTTGCATATTCGTTATCTATTGCAATGATATTAATGAACATGTTTTTGAGTATCCTTCACAGTTCCTACCGGGAGATAAGGCTTCTTAAACAAGGGCGTTTTCCTGACGTAGAATTAGCTCGGTTTGCTGCGCACTATTTCATGGAGAAAGTCAAGATTCTTTGGCATGATACTAAACACTCAATAAAAGAAACTAAGCTCAGAAAACTGCGATTTAATAGAAGGAAAGCAGATGTCTTTGGCTTTTTGAAAAGGGACTCCAAAATTAACCGAGAAGCTGAGGAGTACATTTGCTTGTCATCCGAAAATGTAAGATTCGAAGAGGTGGTTTTGGAGGAAATGATAGATATTGATTCAGTGGATGAGTACAATTCGCTAAAAGACATGAGGAAAACTATACTTCAAATAGGAGGAAATTTCTTTCTGACACAAAATGAATGGAGTTCTAGTAGCATAAATGAAGAAGACGACGACAGAGAAGATGCAAGCTCATCGAAAGGCGACTGGAGTGACGGTATGGAAAGCAGTTTTTCGAACACGTCGGACATGGATCTTGTTTAATAAATGGAGCATGTTTTCAATAGGATGTCGGATACAATCCGAAATTGTGGCGTTTTGATTTACCTCGATCTTCATTGGTTGAGAAAACTAGCGTCTCCTCCTCAACCAATCAGATGCAAGACTGAGAATAATCCTGACCGTGATACTTGCGTTTTCCCGCGCTTGAGACAAAGTTAATTTATGTACTTAGACCTCTCATTTTAATTTGCTTTCATTCTGTTTGGGTGTTTTAATTTGCGTGGGCTTTGTTTAACTACTCATTGTTAAAGAAAAATTATGTAAAAGCTGGACACAATTTATTCTGTAAAAGGGCTTCTATTTGATAACAAAAAGTATTCGAGATTCTCATCCAATGGTTTAGAAGCGAGTTTTTTTTTAATACTACAACTTAATTGTTGGGACTATTTAAAATTGCTTTTACTACGGGATGATAAAATCATGCAATCAATCTCTATTAACAAGATACTCCTAAGAACAAACCTCGACACTTTCGCTTAAAACAAGAGTCCTACTAAAATTAAAAAAAAAAAAGAAGAGAATATTTTACAAAACAGTTTCATAATGACTTAGATATGCCGGATAAAGAAAAAAAGGGATAGATGCTTTAGAAAAGATCTAATTTTATATGGATAAAGTTTTTTTTACATATGTCCATAGCGAGCAAGGTTTTTCATTGTTAAATGAAATCGTCATTCAACCTATTTGAAAATATCATATTTAAAAAATTGCAGTGATTAAAATTGGACCTTGTAACCCTTTGTATGCAGACGTGCCATCTCCCTGGTCCTTTGCTATAGATCTAAGAAACTATGTGCATAGAGCAGTAAAGATCCTATGTGAACAGGACGTTGAAGACATTTTTGACGTTTAATTTCTCAACTCGCGATCAATGGATGGTTTTGCCGACTGATCCATGGTCTTCAAAATTTAGAGAATGTCCTCTAAGGTCATATATTTTTATAGCAAGTAAGATCAAAGATAATTCCAGTGAGTTAGAAGATCTGGCAACTCAGGAATAAATGCACGTTCAGAAGTTTTTCTCTCCGTTTGAGTCACGAGCGGAAGGTCCAAAATGATTGTTAACCGGCTGTCAGTGGTACCCTCGAGCATTATAACGTGGAAAGTTTGCAGAAAGTCGGTGACTAAATGCTGAATCTGTGTAATTCATACAGAAGGATTTAACTCCCTAAAATGTTACAGTGAGTGCCATATCTTCATTGTTATTAAGTCTGTTGTATAACCCGCTTCCATTTATAAAACATTTTCTAGGCTATTATTTCGCGCCCTTTTTAAATTCGAACCCTGAGTAAATTCGGCTTCTCCAAATTCAATTTGTTTACTTTCGTTTTCATTTAACCGCATTACTCTGTCGGTTTCGCTCCCGCGCTGTTGCATCGGTAAGTTTCATTTGCCGTCTTCATTGTTTGTCTTTGCTCTGTGTATTTCCACTTTTCGCGTTCATGTTTTTTTTTTTTTAATTTTTTTTATACATATATCAGGCATTTACCTCTTTCGCCACACATAATGTTTTTCACTAGCAGTCTTTCTGCTTTCGGCTACCACTCATATGTAGCTCTCCCTCTCCTCTTCACTGTAAGTCTTGGATTGGCGCCTGAGGGTTCGGTGGAGACGTTTACCTTGGCTCCTGAGCATGCCACGGACATAACTCCAAGCACTACTGTTCGAAGAGTCCTTACATGCTTGAATCAAAGACAGCATAGATGCTGACTCATTCAGTTCCTCATAGCTAACGTCATATGATAGAGAAGAGGAAGAGGCAGAATAACAGTCTTCATCTTTTCGGACTGCCGCCATAAAATCGGACCGTACGGTTTTCATGATTCTTGTGATATCAGACAGAAGCAGTTCCTCTTCGGTTGATGGAGTATCGCAATAAACGTCACCAATTGCGTCAATTAAATAATTGTATTCATCCTCAACAATAGGGTCCTTCACCTCTGTCACGTTGCTTTCTGTTTTAAATTCAGTGAAACCCGATTGAGAAAGGATCTGATGGCCTGCCAATTTGTCAGTCTCCTCGGTAAGACTTTCGTAGCTCAAAAGACTTTCACTTTCGGCGAGCTTTGCTCTGTTTTTGTATTGATCATTTTCAATGTCGTCCAGACATCTAAATCCTGTGAGCTGCACTGGAGATTCACTGCGAAGATTTCCCTCAAAGTTCAAAAGCCTGTTAGTTTCTGCAGGAGTTTCCTTCCTTAATAAAGGTTGATTTGACTTTCTTCGGATAGTCTTTCGAAACGGAGATTCTCTGAATACTCCTCCGGCAGTTTCGACATTACCAGTTTTCTTGAACCAGTCTTTTACGCATTTTTTCATAACCACAATCGCTCCTTCCCCTGGGTACTCTCTGTCATTGGCCTGATGAAACGCATCATCCAATATTGCAATAAAGGTGTTAACGAAAACAATTGTTAAACTTAGCATACAAGCAAACAAGTAAATGGGGGCAAACCATTCGCTTGAATCACCATTCATCTTATTAACTTGTATTTTTCCTATCCCGATTGCCATTTGGAGTACTGTACGCAGCGCAAAATAGAGTGTCGCGTATTCTTCATCCCTAGCTCCAAACAGAAGTGATCCAAACTGTGCGAAGGCGAGAGCAAGCATCAAGATAATTACGCTGAAGGACAGAATATACCGGCAGGCGCTTTGGAGGGTCCATTTCATGACATGGACATGACGATTAAGCTGTATGAGTCTTAGAGACTGGATGGTTGTCGTCACAACAGCAATAGACAAAATAATTTCTTCAAAACTTGACCATATGATGAGCTCGAAAGGGCTCCAATCCCCAAAGGGATTGCCACGTATTTGTTGAAGGAAAGCTTTTAAGGTGTTCTCTTTCAGAAAAACAGTCAAACCCGCGCAACAAGATGAAAGAATCTGCAAGATGGAAATCCAGTTGAAGAAGCCTTTAAAGTACCCTCGCCCTTGCTTTGTCGCCTTGATGATTTCGAGAAAAAATAAAGCTAGGATTAAAATAAGCCATAAAAGAATGCTCACGCGATAGAATGGGCGCAGAGAGGAGCCAGTGGAAGGGAAAATATATTGAGGAATTATGTCAATTCTTGTACTTCTTCTACTGTTTGCGAACTTCTCGAAGAGGAGCAAAACTTCGGTGAGTAAAAGATTTGCGGGTTCAAATACTATGAACTCGACAATAACCGCAGCTGACCTGTCATCTATCCAATTATTCTCTTCCATGCTCTCTTTGACCATAAGTGCTGTAGTTGCATCGTATCCAAGCTTTGCTATGTAACCCCCGCCACCGTAAGGTAGGAAAACGTCTCCGAGTCCCATGGGCTCTTTATATCTCCACGGTTCTGGGCATAATTTGTTAAGTTGCTGTGAATTTATAGAAATGTTTGAAATTGGCCATGTCTTCCATCCGGGTCTATAATACGGCGTGGTGTCTTTGTTTGAATTGGAAAAATCTGAGGTGCAGTGCTTATCGAAGTACTTGCGTAAAACTGGTCGAACATGAAACACACTGCATGTGGGTTCTATGGATGATGAAAGAAAAAACTGTATATGATCAAAATAATTACGTGCATCGAGTTACCTTAATTGTCTGAGCAGTTAAGCGCAAAAACTGTTTTATCTAGTTACCATTTACTTCCTGATGTTTAACAGTATGAAGGAATTGTTGGCTGAAGGGGCTTATCGTTGTTTTGATAAAACACGCACTCCGAAACACTATAAAAAAAATGAAAACAAAACAAAGGAGAAAATAGCCTAAAAATATCGAAAAGCAGCATTGAAGCTGCCGCCTTTGGTTCTGATTATAGTTTAAAGAATTCCCCCTCTCTTGATGTTTCAGTTCAGATGCAAATCCGAGTAACCTGGATTAAGACGCAGTTAGCCTTCGTAATACTGCTGGGCTAGAAATACTGAGACTTATTCTAGGAGAATGAACCGGTTCTACTTTACTTGATTCTAATAAGATGGTATCTCAAAAGTGGCAAGAACGAAGCCTGACCTGACTTAATACGTATCTGTCGTATCTTTGGGAGGCCCACAATAAAGCCAATCTTGCCACTTATCATCCCGGTCTCACTACCATTGAGAGTCTTTTCACTGTCGTAAAGGCCAGGTACTAGTTCTTCTTCAAACCAGTTCCAAAAAGATTTTGCATCCTGAACCTAGATAAGATAAAACGATCGGCTCTCATTGTCAAAGAATAATTAATACGAGGAAAAAAAAATGAGGTGAAGAGATAGATGTGCCTAGATTCCAAATCTTAGAAGGGAGCTAACCGACGTTCGTGTTTCAACGCTTTCAGTATTTCAGCTGGGTGGAGGCCTTGCTTGTGAAGGATCTCGATTCTATTTCTAGAATAATTTGAAACTTTTGCCATGATTACTATCAAAAGTGGAGTACATAAATGATCCCAAACGCATCGACACAACAACCTGTGTTGCCATGGTTGCAAACAATATAGGGCGCGCGGAGACTGGAATCGTAGCGGGAAATTTTATGGGAGTATTACATAGTGTAGTAACCAACCACAAATTCAACCAAATCTTTTTGAGAAGAATGAACAATACAACGAATTTTCGCCCCGAAAATTCGCCGCATAGAACGAATTTTCGCTCGAAATTTCGAGTCGCATTTACGCCATCAAGGAATTTGTCGCCGAAAGTTCGAGCCGTTCAAAACAATACATGCCTCGAAAATTCGCGGAAATGTCGTCGAAGTTTCGTTTCGGTCAAGAATTCGTCGAAAAGCCAGGAATTTCGCCGAATTTCGTCGACAGGTGTTTGCATTACTTTTGCACAATACTGTACTACAAGAGCTTTTAGCATGAAGCGATGCAATGAGGTATTCTCTGGTATAGACCCGGTTCAAGGGGAAATGCAGCTGCGAGAATAATTGTTCTTGCCTAAGAAAAACCAAACTAGCCAAACTAGGGTGTAAGCTTCGTCCTTTTGTTTCACGGTTAAATGGGCCACTAGTAAGGCCACGTCTCTCCCTCGATTGGACAAGGAGGTCCTAACAAAGAAAGACATGCACCTCTTGAGATAAATTGCTGCATGGTCGTTTTGAGCATTTTGGGATAGAAAAGCGGTGAATAACCCTAATGAATTTGGGTATGTGGTGTGGTGTAAAACAGAAGCGACATGAATGCAAGCCAGTCTTGCAACAATATTACCTGGTAGAATGCACTGAACGTGTTCTTTAACGTTTTTGTCTGTAAGTAACTTGACGGCTTACGGTCTGCATAGCACACAATCATTAGCAGGACGACATAGACAACGTAGATCACCAGGTCTTTAAAGAAGCGCCGTAGCTTTTTCAGTTGAAGTTTTAAGCTTCGAGCTCTTTGTAGTTCTTCCTCTGGCGGCTTGTGACTTGTTACAAGTTCATCTCCTTGAACAACGTGCACTAGGTTTGCTTGTTGGGTTTTCTTTTCTATTTCGTTATCCTCAGTTGGTTTCCTGTTTACTAAAGCCATGATAGATGTGTTTACTATGATGATAATTGGTCCATTCAG